CTGTACTGACCATTCTGTCCATTTTATTGACAATTTTAACTTTTTATGGGATCGCAGACATCTTTTCAAGGCAAATGGAGTATGCCTGAACAAGTCAGGAGCGAAATTGTTTATCTTTAACATATTCAACTGCCTGCGTCATCAATCTGTTCCCTCTGCCAAGGACAAGCGGCAAGAGGAATCAAAACAGGAGAAAGACACAACACATCGCGCAGAAAACCCTGAAGAAGTATCACTGCACCCGCCTGAGGAATGTTCTGATTATGGGAGACCTATGACACAAATGGAGGAGTCTCCACTGCCCGTCACCCTCCCTGTCAACGCCTTTGAGGATACTCTTCATTCATCCCCCAGCTCTCTCTACTCTCCGCTCACCCTTTCACCCTTGCCCACCCCCCTGCAGTTCGATGACCGCATGAAGGCGACACGCAGGGTTGGCAGCATGTCCTTTACCCCCGCCCCTCAACGACGCCCACCAAAATCACCGAAGCAGAGATGTGCACCATCTCCCCCGGCTTCATCACCATGCCTACCACAATCATCCAAACCAAATCAATACAAGGAAGATGGAAGCAGATTTCCAAACCCCCCTTTCTACAGTGTAGCCCTCACCCTGCCCTCCTATGATGAGAGGAGCAGGGTGGTGGGTCCTCCCTCCCCTTCAAAGCCTGATAGGGATGTGTGTGTACAAAACGCTGCAAACTGATATCTGCTGGGTCCAGGCTCAAGGGCGTATGGCACTCTCAACTCTTTCCAGGACATGCCGGGGCCCTGCCTGCCTGTAGCTTTGCCGATATCTGTGTTGATAGGTAATAGATTAAGAGCGGTGAATCATCTTAGATACAGGAAGCGCTCACAAGTTTGTGTGAGTTTATCAAATTTAGAAGTGATTCCATGTCAGCCACAGCTTGTTACAAAAAACCTGACTGATAGTGTGTTTAACGAACTTAAACTAGCTTTATTAAATGTCAGGTCTTTGGCAGGAAAAACATTTTTAATCAATGATTTTATCACTGAGCACAATCTCGATTTTATGTTTTTAACAGAAACTTGGATTGAACAAAATAACAGTGCAGCTATTCTTATCGAATCAACCCCTCCCAACTTTAGTTTTATGAGTCAGGAAAGAATGCACAAGAAAGGGGGTGGAGTTGCTATTCTGTTCAATGATTTCCTTCAATGCAGGAAGACATCTTATGGGAACTTTGCTTCTTTTGAATATGTGGCCCTTCAGCTGAATGCTCCTCTCGAGCTCTGTTCCTAAATATCTATAGACCACCCAAATACTGTGCAAGCTTTTTTGATGATTTTACCGAACTGCTGTCTATAGTGTGTATTGACTTTGACCGTCTAGTCATTGTTGGTGATTTTAACATCCATGTTGACAACCCCCAGGACAGAGGGGCAAAATAACTGTTTTGTGTTCTTGATAGCTATGGACTGACTCAGCATGTGACGGAGCCCACGCACAATAAGGGGCACACTCTGGACTTAATTATCTCAAAGGGTCTGAATGTCTCTAAGGTTGTGGTGACTGATGTTGCACTCTCTGATAATTCCTGTGTTTTCTTTGAGAGCTCTATTTCTGTTCACAAAAATGTTCAAAAAGAGATAACCACAAAGCGATATTTAACTGAAAATACTAGGGAAATGTTTACTCAGAATTTTTCTTCCACACTTGCCCCTGCTAACATCTCAGTAAATGAGCTAGTAGATCATTTTAATTCAAAAATTAAAAATGTTATAGGTGCCATTGCTCCAACTAAGGTAAAGGAAGTGTCTGGCAAGAAAATATCTCCATGGAGAAAGGCCATGACCGTGAAAGCAGAAAAAAGAGAATGTCGAAAAGCTGAACGCAGGTGGCGAAAAACAAATCTACAGGTTCACTTTGAAATCTATAAAGAGAGACTTGGCCTTTATAATTTGGAATTGAAAAACGCACGACAATCGTTCTTCTCTGACATCATTACCAAAAACAAAAACAACACACGTGCCTTGTTTGCTACCGTCGACAGACTAACTAACCCCCCAGTGTCAGTACCCTCTGAATTTCTATCCACCAGGGCGTGCAATGATTTTGCCTCCTTCTTCACTGACAAAATTCAGAAAATCAGACAAGCAGTCAGTGCCTCTGCATCAGGAACAGCAAATGTGTTGTCCCTATCTCCACTTAACATCAATTCAGACATCATGACACAATTCCATCAGATTAATGATAAAAACCTAGAGGACATTATTCAACTTCTGAAATCCTCCTCCTGCTGCCTTGATATTATTCCAACAGGATTTTTCAAAGATGTTTTTCGTTGCATGGCCTCAGATCTACTTCATATAGTAAACAAATCTCTTCACTCAGGTATTTTTCCATAGGTCCTGAAAACTGCAGTCATTAAAAAAGCTCTTAAAAAAGAATAATCTAGATGCTTCAGTAATGAACAATTACAGGCCCATATCAAACCTCCCATTTCTAGGTAAAATCATTGAAAAAGTTGTTTTTCAACAGTTGAGTAATTTCTTGCATTTAAATAACTGTTTTGATGTGTTACAGTCAGGCTTTCGTCCAAACCACAGCCCTGAGACTGCTCTTGTAAAGGTCTTTAATGACATCCACTTAAATACAGACAATGGCAGAACTTCAGTGTTAGTATTATTAGATCTCAGTGCTGCATTTGACACTGTTGACCACAGCATATTACCAGACCGACTGGAAAACTGGGTGGGACTTTCGGAAACAGTTCTAAATTGGTTTGAATCCTACTTAAAGGACAGAAACAACTTTGTTTCTATAGGTAAATACACATCTGAGTTGACAAATATGACATGTGGGGTTCCTCAAGGCTCCATCTTGGGGCCTCTTCTCTTTAACGTCTACATGCTACCACTGGCTCAGATAATGAAGAACAACAAAATAAGTTACCATAGCTATGCAGATGACACACAAATTTACGTAACAATTTCACCAGGAGACTATGCTCCAATTCAATTCAATTGAACAAATCAATGACTGGATGTGTCAGAACTTTCTCCAATTAAACAAAGATAAAACTGAGGTAATGGTTTTTGGAGCCAAGTCAGAACGTATAAAAGTTAGCGCTGAGCTTCAGTCTGCAATGTTCAAAACAACAGATAAATCCAGAAATCTAGGTGTAGTCATGGACTCTGACCTGAGTTTCAACAGTCACATTAAAACAGTTACTAAATCAGCCTACTATCACCTAAAGAATATATCTAGGATTAAAAGACTAATGTCACAGCAGGATTTGGAAAAACTTGTCCATGCTTTTATCTTCCGTAGACTCGACTACTGCAATGGTGTCTTCACAGGTCTCACTAAAAAATCTATTAGAAAGCTGCAGCTGATTCAGAACGCTGCTGCTCGAGTCCTCACTAACACTAAGAAAGTGGATCACATCACTCCTGTTCTGAAGTCTTTACACTGGCTTCCTGTGTGTCAAAGAATAGATTTCAAAATATTGCTACTGGTTTATAAAGCACTGAATGGTTTAGGCCCAAAATACATTTCTGACCTCCTGCTAAATTATGAACCATCCAGATCTCTCAGGTCTTCAGGGACTGGTCAGCTTTCTGTCCCCAGAGTCAGAACTAAACATGGTAAAGCAGCGTTCAGTTATTATTCTCCAAATATCTGGAACAAACTTCCAGAAACCTGCAGGTCCGCTACAACTCTGACTACTTTTAAATCCAGGCTGAAGACTTTTCTTTTTGCCGCTGCTTTTAATTGAACTATTCATATCTTAAACTGCACTGTAACTTTTATCCATGTATTTTTTCTTTTAATGTTTCTTTTATTAGCTTTTCTTTTTAATGACTGATTTTAAATGCCATTTTCTTAATGTCTTTCATTTTTTGTAAAGCACTTTGAATTGCCTTGTGTTGAAAAGTGCTATATAAATAAACTTGCCTTGCCTTGCCTTGTGTTAGACCTGCTTCCTGCCTTATTATCTTTCCTTCTGCATCAGGATCCCTGGATATGTCTGCGTGTTTGCCTGTCGGATAATAACTATGAGCCCTGACCATTATAACTTATTTTACTCTAATACCTGAACTGTGCGGCTGTTACTGAAAACATGTAAAAGCAAACATTTAAGTGTGTTTTAGCCTGTTTTGTCTGGACACCTTAATGCTGGCACCTTCATAAATCCCTTAGCAGAGATACTTTAAGCTGAACCTTGGGATGAAAACACATCACCAGCCATTAATACTCTCTTAATTAAATACTTTACAGACATGTATTCCTGTATATAGTAATGGACAACAATACGACATATTTTACACACAATTAAAATCCCAGTTTTTAGGGGATTTATTATTATTATTATTATTTTACATATTCACATGTTTTTTTTAACTGTTTAATATTCAATCCTCTCAGAGTTGGTTCTCTGGAGGGATCCTTTGCTGATTTCATTCAACTAAGAATTGGAAAGCACTGCTGGGATATTTTGATTTCATGTGGGCATTAATGTGATACAGACTGTAGCAATATGCTGTAAGACAGGTAACATGTCAGATCATGTCACATTCTGTTTTTCAGTGTATACTGCAGTTAAATATTTGTGAATTAGTGTTTGGGTTAGGAGATGATAAATAAAAGACAAGTGTGCTTGTTTTGTGTAATGCATAATTAATTAAGCTATTTTGACATAAAAAAGGAGTGGTAGTAAATAGATGGAACTTAAAACAAATATGTGTAGTTGAATTGTACATCAGTATATAGCATGTGTCATGAAATACAGTGGCATGTACATTTACTGTAACAATTACTCAAAGCACTTTGTTACCTTGCTGCGAGCCTAGCACCAATTATTGAGCTATTAAGCCTTCACATACAGCCTGAGATCACGTGGCTGTACAGAATCAAAGCTAAAGAGCAGAGGCACCTTTAATGGCAGGATATCACCTGTCTAAAGAGCTCTGTCCAGTAACTGTAGGTCCCTTTCATGTTGTTTACTGTATTTTTCAGAAAAGCAGCAGAATAATACAATAATTCATGTGTTTATTTTACTGTTGTACATATTGCAGTTAAACATATTGGATATAAACATCTTGTACAAGTAGAATAGCTAAACAGATAATATATGAATACATTAGGTAGCATGTCAGTTTTTATATAAAACCAATAAACTCAAATCACAGGGATTCCTCCATCACAGTTTGACTTCAAATGAAGCAAAGAAGAAATACACAGCGTGTTGTTATTTCAATACATTTACTTATTTTCTTATTTGTATGTTTTATTTGAATGTTGCAATATATTTCAAGTTAGATTGGAGTCATAACCTGATGTGTTTAAAACACAAGGCCTATAGTTGAAGATATATCTAGTACAGAACAGGAATTACTTGAAATCACTGCTGGATATATAGTAAGAAATTAATGAGACTAGATATTTGATGTTTTGATTCAAACATATTTTACATTGCAAACATTTTCCACACTGTCTTGTCAGATCAGGAGGTATTGGATTAACGTGATTAACAACATATTTTAAAGGCATATTTTACAAAACACTATCTTGTTAATGAAATGATAAAAAGATAAAAAATAAAAATAAAATGCAAACAACATCATCAGTTATTTCCAGTGTTTGGAATTAATGGTCAATGCTTGAATTTATATCCACTATTATACAAACATCAACATCCTTGATAGGTATACAATACTTACACACCAAATAAAACCTGAACTTGGTAAGGAAAATGTCATACATAATATGATAAGAGCGTACAGCACAGAGTAGCCATAATCATCAGCATTGTCCATGGAAGAAGGCCTCCTTCAGACTGTCCAGTGCCTCCTCCTCAGTTATCTCCTTCCACTCATCAGAAATATATGCTGGTTCCTGATTGTATTCCTTTGCAAAGTTCTCATTGAACCTTGCCCACACATACCTGTAAATTATGGAATATTTAGCTCAGCTCATTTAAAAAACATTTGTATCTAAACATTTATATTTTATGATGAAAAGCATGCAAATAAAGAAAAAGTACTTATGTTATTTTAAACGTTAATAAACATCACAGTACCTCCAATAAGCACATGGCATCTCAGTGTTTGGGTCCCCATGGGAGATGCTCCAGTCTGGGTAGAGGGAATGGAGGCTGCTGCATGCTACAGACAGGTCTTGTTTGTCCTTACTCATGCCTGGGTTTCCCTCTGTCATACCTGAGTCATGGGGCAACATGTCTTTGGGCCTGTGGAGCAGAGCCTTGTGAAGCTCATGCCCCTCTTGCAGCTCACAGGGGGCTCTGCAGAGAGGACAGTGCTGGTCACAGCCTCTTACTCTTTCAAACAAGGCCTCTTGGGGCTGAATTATAGGGCACTGAAGAAGTTGGGTGATCTCAACATTTTGAGAGAACTCCTGGGCTAGTTCCAATCTCATTGCAGCCAGTAACTCCATTAGACATGTGACAAAGCGATCCCATTCCGTGGTGATACTGAAGAAAGGTCCGTCCAAACAGGACCTGGCCTTGACATCAACATCTCCATCTTTCTCTAAAATGAGGCAAACTCTCTCCAGTAGTGGCTTTGTATCACTAAGTACTCCACTGGCACCTTCTGCCGTTTGGCTCACTGCTGCCGCAATCTTCCCTACAATTTCCCCAAGTCTCTGTTGCCTCCATATACCAAAGTTGGATGATTCAGAGAGATGAGCCACCACCGTCTCCTGGATCTTCCTCACTCTGAATTTGTCATAGTTAAGCAAATATTCCTTGAAGCTTTCAAAATGGTCCTCCTTCACTAGCTCTTCCATTAAGCTTTGATGAAAGGAACATGGGGACTGATACTGCTGGGCTTTATCTTGGATATCTTTAACAATTTGCATTCCCAGTGGTCTATAAATATATTCTAACACTGTAGGTTTGACAACCATGGAGGTAAATGCTTGAGCCACCCTCTGGCACTGATCTCTCTTCCTGAACTTGTAGATGAAATCTAACATGTACTTACTCTTGGTTGCAGTAATAGTTGTCAAAAGCACGCTGTCCTTGGCATAGCGGTCATGTAGTTGTTGGAAGTCTTGGCATGCAGCGCTACAGAGATAAACTTTCAGATCCACTTCAAACGCTGATCTGATTTCCATAGATTTTTCTTTCAAGGCTTTTTCAACATTTTCCAAAAGTTCTGCAATATAGCTGTCGGAGAAATCTGCTGCTAAACTAGACTTATCTTCTACAAACTGATTGTATTCTTCTATGACCTTGCATGCTACCTGTTGAGCTTCTACCCTCTGCAGTCTGTTGTTGTCTTCAAACATGTGCTTTAATCTGCTGCGGTATCCAAAGTGCTCATCATTAACTTGGAAGCCCGATGCTTGGTTTTTGCCGATAGCTTCAAGTTTTTTCATGTGTTTCTGGAGACCACAGCAAATTAGATTATGTTTCAAAACATTGGTCACTCTTGCAGTAATATCATCTATTTCTGATGGCCTAAATTCAAAGTTGGACAAAGTCTTACTCCACACATCCTCAAACTCCTCTTCTAGTTCTGTATCTTGAAGGAGAACTTTAGATGACTTGCTGTTCTCTACGAGTGCATGCAATTTAAATTCCTGTTCTTTTTCCAGTGAGTTCTCAAACCTTTCCAACTGTGTCAAAGAACAATGGCTTTCGTTGACTGTCCCCAACCTTTGCACCATCTCTTCAGTTACTTCCTCCTGAAGGTGATCAATATTGCTCATTAGGATTGGCTTGAAAGTGTTCATTTCGAGAATGTTGTCTTTCGTCAAATAGGCATCTGCTTTTGATCTAAGCTTGTCTACCTCTGTTTTGACTTCCTCTCTGGCTTCATCCTTCAGCCTTCTCAAAAGGCTATTTTGGATTTCAGCGTCTAGAGCCTTTGCCTTTGTGTCGAAGATTGTCTCTGTTGCCCCCTTAAGCCAGCTCTCCATGTGTTCCAGGCAACTATGCTCCCACTGGAAAAACTCGGTGCACAGTAAACAGAAGGCTAAAGCTATGTCAGTATTTTGCAGACCAGTGGAGAATGATTCTGCTTTCACTGCATCCCAAACCGCACACAAACGACTCATTAATTCAGGCAGACCAGTGGCTTCAGACTTAGCTGCACACTTCTTCAACGCCCCAAACAGGTTTTCCTTAAGCTTTAACAAAGTCTCACTATACTGTGTGTCAATTGGTTGAGAAAGGGACATATTGCACCAAGGCCCTTTGACACAGGTGATACAGCTTTTGGTCTTTGCATAATGGTCATCAGCATTGCTAGTTCCTCTGTCCCTACTCTCAGTCTGTAGCATATCTGATACACGTCTTAACTGTGATGCTTGTAACAAGCAGTGTATTCCTTCATCCTGGGCCAGGAGTTGGCAAATGGGCATGGAACTACATTCTTTGATGCGTAGGAGAGCATTGACTGTGACAGTGATGTAAGTTTCATACTCAGTACCCACGTGTGAAGAGATGTTCTGCAATATAACATCACTCAAGCCTGCGGCAACAGTGGCCATCTCATTGTCGTGGATCAGCACATTTATTTTGTTGTCCAGAGACACTGAGCAGAGACCTTCTACATCAATTAAAAACAGAAAGTCACACTCCATTTCCTTTCTTAGCCGATCAGGCAGACACAGGGCAGCCATGTATAACCCTTTAGTGGATCTTTTCCTTCCTTCAGGAAATTTTGCCCCAAATAATTCAGAAAGAAGCTCAGCATTCCTAGCATGATGTACTCCAAGATTTGTCAGCACTCGGATCCTGCACTGTTTTTGAGGTAGGCGGAGTTTGAGCTCTGCAAAGACACATGCCAGCCAGCGCATTGGGATGTTAGAGGCATTTCCATCCATCAGTTCAAGTGGAATCCCATATAGAAGAAGGTCTGTAGCTAAACTAGGGAGACGCAACACATTGTGGCTCCCACTCCCGGGACTGATGTGTGTTAGTTCAAAAATTAAGCCCATCTCACGCAAAAAATGCTCAAGTCCAAGCGAGGACTGATCAGGCTCCAAAAACTGTTGACATGAGTCTGTAGGATGTTCAAAGGAAACATCTCTGCCTGGATCTTTTGTTGACTCAACAAGTTCTTTCTGTTGTGACTGTAGCTCTATGGTTTTTTCTGCAGATGTTTGCAAAATGTGTATTAACCCTTGGCTTATCTCCACCTGTTGCTCAGAATCTTGCAATTCATGATTCATGAGCTGCTCTTCAGTGTTATCTTCCTCAGGTGTCGAATCTGTGCAGAAACTATCACTGTCCCCTGTGTCATAATTTACTCCATTTTGGAGGTTATCACAGTGTTCTGGCAGGCCACCTTTTTCTGTCTTCAGCTTTGTAAATAGGTCTTGTGGACTGTTTTGTTTTTCCATTTGATTAAGACGAAGCCTCAGCTTCATCCAACTAAGGAAATAGGTCCTCTCCACTTTATCTGTTGCTGAAAGCGCGCCAGTGAAAATCTTCATTGCTGAGGTCATTTTGTAGCAGCTCAACTCTACCAAGATGTCTTTCTTTTCTTTTTGCAGTTGTCCGTCAATTTCTTTTCCTTCTTTTCTTTGCTTACTTTCCTCCTTTTCCATTTCAGCAAGTTTGCTCCACAAAGACCCCTGCAATGGAAGCTGTTTGTCCCTAAATTGAGCAGATCCCTCATCTAAACCTTGCAATACTTTCTCCACTGTAGCCATTGCCTTTTTGCAGACTGCCCCTTCGTCTACATTTAGGCCTAGCTCCTCTGCTAATTTGGCTGCTGCCTCAAGTGTCACAAGTTTCAATTCATCTGGTAATATATTTTTCAAGGACCCACACAGCATGTTAGCCAGTTCCTCTTCACTCAAATCCCTACCGTGTACCACTGATCCTCCAGGAAGCTCCATGTATTCCTCAAGGTTCTGACCAGCAAACCTCACGACCCTGTTGTCATTGTTCTCAGCATCTGATAGGTCAATCAATATGAGCTTGTGTGCCATATACTTGCAAGATGCAAGAACTTGTTTTTCTTTCTCCCGAAGATTCCCACAGAAAACCACCACGGCTGAAGACGCTTGACATAGAAGGCTGAGGCATTTTTCATGTTTACTGGCATCACCACGGAGGTTAGAGATGACCACAGGGACAGGAAAAATGTCTCTGACAGGGTCACCAGTAGGTAGATACCATCCAATCTCAACCAGGCCATTTGAGAGTCTTCGGGGAAGCTGTCCTCCATCCATCCCCCTGTGGAGAAATGTGTCACAGGAAGATCCGAGTCCACCTATTACATTGTTTAGCACCTGTGACTTAGAGACACCACTGTGACCAAGCCTCACACAAGAAACTACTGGCATGTATGTACTCGCCAAATCCCCCCCATAGACCTTTCTGTTATTTTCCGGAAAGTGCAACGTCCATTGAGTAACAGCACCTCTCAAAGGCCAAAGAAGGAAGCGACTGGCTTCTTCTGGATCTTTATTTGGAAGGACCAGGGGCACAGCAAACTGGCATTGTAACATACGCACAGTCATCTCCTGCTGAAGAAAAGTGTTAGCCGACATAAAGACAGCTGTTACTAGATCAAGGGGGTTGACGGCACACTGGCTTTCTTCTTTAAAACCATTTCTAATTTCCTCAGGTGAATTGTTGGAATTGTTCAAAACATCATGCAGAGGTTTGCAGCAAGGACTCCGGGCATCTTGGCTAAACAGCCACAAGCGTTGTAGAAAGGCATTTGGCAGATCCTTGGGCTCAAGAGGGGCCTGTTTCTCCAGAGTCCAAGTGCTGATGTCCAACAGAGACGCTGGGTCCAGTGGTGTAGTCAAGAAGGCCTCTAGTCCCAGGGTATTGAGAACCTCTGCCTGTGCATTGTCCTTTGGAGGTTCTGGTTAACAAAATAATCAATAATTTAGCCTTTGGATGTGCTATATTTTAAAATTGCAAATGGTTTTATCCAGTTAAATGTGGAATAAAATGTAATATGATCAGAACCGAAATCCAATCCAAGTCTTTATTTTAGTAATAGTTTGGTAAAAATGTTTTAGTCAAACTTTGTAAAATACTCAGAAAAGCTTAATTATTTATACTTCGCTGATGATTCTTCATACTTCAAAGCTGCTTTTGTGATTATTGAAAATGTGAAAAAAAAGATGACTATTAGTATTTAGTTCATGTGTGATGCATGTTTTTGAATATAAACATCTACTGATTTCTTATTAATTCTTAATCTGTACACAAGCTTTCACTGTGACTAATTTTTATCAAGTTACGTGACACTTTGATTATTTTTTTAACGATACTTGATCTATTAATGTTTCTATTGCAAAATAAAAACACTGTTATATATAATAGAAAACATTAATCCGTTAGAAACAAAAAAGGCACATTATCCCCGTACAGTAGATACCTAATCATTACATATGATCTTAGAATTTCAGCTCACCTGCAAACAAAACAACAAGTTTCCCTTCAACACTCTACCCCGCAGTGCCATAAACACCCACATTTACTAGACTTGCTGCCTCCAACCCAATTATTACATTACATTACATGTCACTTGTTAGACGCTTTTATCCAAAGCGACTTACATACTCAATACTGTGGAGAATCCCCACAGGAGCATTTTGGGGTGAAGTGTCTTGCCCAGGGACACAACGACATGCTGACTGCAGTGGGGTTTGAACCTGTGTTGTTCTTTATCCAAGAACAACCCACCTCCTGGCCTGCAGGTTTAACCTCAGGTTTGAGCAGTCACAGGCGGAAGCTGTACTGGTCTGCCAACATTTATTTTTTTGTCTTCCTAAATGACATGAACAGAACTTCCGAAATACATTTTGATAGCTAACCATTTGGCATCACGTTTGTTGTGCACATATTTAGCATTATAACCCAAAGCATACATTTCAACAATAAATACACATATGTGGAATAGCTGACGTTTAGCGGAAACACAGTCAGTTTTGGCTAACGTCCCTTATAGGTGCCATTGATATGTCTGGAGAACTACATGCCTTATTTATGATCAAAGCAGGGCAAAAACAGATATGTACTGTCAGCTAAGGTAGTTATTGTTACATTTGACGGCATCATACGCTACTTCCGAACAAGACATATATTGAGAAAGCAATTATTTGTATCACTTATTTTATACTTGTCAGCCTCCATTCAAAATGGTATATAGGTGTTTTTAACTGTGTTTTATGAATGAAGTTAAAGAATTCACAGAATATTTTGGTACGTTTAAAAAGAAAAGTCCTCAATATGAAGCACATTTATTTCCTACCACAACCCCTGAATAACAACAAAAGGACTTACTTTTCTTTTTGATGCTCGGCAGCTTTGGAGACTTGACGGACATGATGAATCCAGCTGAGTTCCTCCCTCTTCGTTTTAAATGACTTTTCCTTCTCTGGTCAGCCACATCACCAACAATGTGTGGTGTTGACTGGAAACCTGTCATTAAAATGTATAACATAAACATTACTGGCATACAAAAGATAGCACAACACAGACAAAAGTACCTGCCAATCCTCTTTGGCCTAATACTGATTCCAAATGTGAATGTGAAAACTGATGTTGTCTTACTTACAATAGATAAGACATTGTTGAAGCCTGCTGTCTCAGAGGACTGCTCATTGTAGAAATAACGTAGGAGGCTGGTTTGTCCACCCTTTTATCGTCCTGAAATGCTTCACTGAAGCAAAACCCTCCTTGTTTCAGTTTTCTTTTCGCTGTAATAAAGCTGGAGACAAGATGGAATTAATATGATATTGTGATATAATGGCCACCCTCAAGATCAGGAGACTGTTGGTAAGATAAAGCACACCAGTGAAAGCTCAACATTTAGCTTAATTTTGAGATTGGCTGTTTTCCAAAGATAAGCGGTGGTTATGAATTATTGCTGGAATTTAGTTTTACTGTATAAAGCTGTATGTAATAAAGATGCCATTTCATAAATCTCACATGAGAACACATCTGGTTAGCATCTAGTCATCATTCATGCCACTCATAAACCAAACATTTTACTTCAATATAAACATACAGTATTATCAGTAAGGTATGCTTAAAGTATGAACAGAGAAAATGGTGTTTACTGTATGCAGTCAAATGTCCCCTGCTGTGATTATTAAATAGTAGAATATTAGATTTTCACTAATGATGCAGCACTTTATTCATTGTTTGGACATGGCTCTGATATTAGCTTTTTATGAAATACTGGATCATTTTACCACTTTGCTCCTCAAATTGTTAGTTAAAATAAAACCGTATGAGAAATTCAATGGCCAAATGTTTCTTTGGTGCAACTGCTAACATGCATAGACATCTGAAGTTGGTAAGCATTGATTTCATCTTTAATGCATTGTATGACATATTATGATCTAACTCTAGCAGTCAGATGGATGTATCAATGTTAGAGCAAAATATATATTTTATTTTATTTCTGCAATGCCAGATTAAGTATAACGCAGCATAAAATGAAAAAGTCAAATACTAGCAAAAGATTATACTTCAGAATATTTTTTGCGATAATGTACTTACTGTAATTATTCTTCACCTAGGACTGCATTTTTGGGTTTTAAGTGATGTGCATAATATAAACATATACAGTGGTTGGTTTTACCTTTCTGCACATAAAATATATTTGTTCACGCTAAAAGTATATTTCGATGTATAATTCCTCAAAAAAGACTAACGCAGATATTCCAATACCTCTGAAACATTTCCTGTGTTTTTTGGTAGAATTTCTTCTTAAATCATTATGTTCTTACCTATCTCTCCTCGTACAATTGCTCGGCAAATAAGTATCCTTCACATGTTGTGTATCACCACTGCTGTTGTGGTGTCTTTCTTTCAGGAGAGCTCTTATACCTGTGTTGTCAGTGACGAGACACATTCCTGTACTTTTGTCCAATCTTAAACAACAGGATGAACATCAGTCACACGCACACGTTGACAAAAGTAAACAAGTGTCATTAATCATGGTTAAAATGACTTGACATGACAGTCTTGATGATACTCAGATAACAGTAGGCAGTGTCTTTTTTTCAATCAGACACCTGTCTAAAGTGTTATCATTAGTCGGAGGTTAGGCTCTACACAATGACGCACAAAAAACCTCAGTTATAGTGTGATCTTTCAGATATAGGTTTATCTGATTACCAATGCGTCACTGCTGGCATGATGACAGTCCCTTTTATTCCTAGAAACCGTATTCTCCTTGCTATAACCCTTCACTTTTATCTTTGAGACATTTTCTTATAAACCCTTCTGGAAAAACAGTTTTCATTCTGTTAAAATGTGTTTACATTTCAAGATAATAAGGTCACAACCAGGTCGCTCCAGATCTGTTTGTGCTAATGGATTTCAACCGATCTATAAAGCATGATTAAAACGTTTTCTAAATACCTTAATTAATTACAATTTGTAAACACTTCCTCAGTAGCGCCTTTTTAGATAGTGACTGACCCTACGGTATATGTCAACAGGTCAACTTGTTTGATAACTCCCTCCTGATTCATATCAGGAATTCAGCACATTTGACAATGAAGAAGAATACAATCTTTCTAAATCAAATTATCTCTAAGCGGTATTCTCTTGACTTCGAGGCGTGAAGATGGACGGTGTGGCGCAGTGCGCTGTGCAATGATCATCAGATCAAGGGGTGAAACCCGCCGCTGCTGCGTCTGTAAAGCCGTTGTGTCCTTGGGCAAGACACTTCACCTGAACTTGCTCCTGGGGGTATTGTCCACAGTGACCATTGCATGTATAACAAATATGTGTAATGTGTATTTGTAAAGCGCTTTGAGCATCTGGAAAAGCGCTATAATAAATGTAAGGAATTATTATTATTATTAATCCAACATGGGATTTAAACAAATACAAATAAAGCATGATCTGTGTCTTCTGCTGGAGAGGGGAAAGCACACCTGGGGATAAGTGTTGTTCAAAGGAAAAGATTACCTCTTCTCTAGTCTCTATTTCAGTCCTGCAAAGCTCTTTAGCAGTCTTACCACCATGTGTCCGAGACAGTGACAATGAAGTGTGTTCGCAGGTCGATGTATGTGTGAGTGTGTGTTTGTTTGAACCTGAGAAAGTTGTGTGAGTGGACATATTGAGCACTGTGCGTCCGACCGTCCTTCCTGAGCAACCCTGCATTGCATTCCTGTTTGCTCAGATCTGTTTCTTCAGCTGGACTGAGGACATTTATCAAAAACGGAGGAAAACATTAAGGATTAACAGAGAAACTAAAGGAATAGTGGTCAAGATGTTGGTCACCATGCTAACAGCGATGTATTTGGTGGTCAAAGTCGTAGAGTCGGTAAGATGATTATAATGATGGATAGAAGTAGAAACACAATTGATTATTGTTCTGTGAAAATTGATTTAATATTTATAGCGTTAAGCGTATCATTTTTTTTCAAATAATCTTTTGATTTGTATTGACAAAAATACAACATATTTCAATAGAAGAATGGAAGAAATACACCATGGTTTCAGAAAAAGTGCTAATATTGTAGCTTTCTCACACAGCAGGACCTCAATATCCAATATAAATCAGGTTTGTGTACAGTAGATCACAATGTGGTCAGGGAAATGTTAAAACAGATAGTGTTAAACCATGACCAGTATCCAAATATGACCAGTATCCAAATATGACCAGTATCCAAATATAATTAATGTGATGTTTAATCAAACCTTTAATGTTGATAAAGCATTCCTCTGCTAATTATGTAACATCTAGCCTAATACTCATGTTTCTAATACAAATATTTACCGGGTTAGCATAAAAGCAAAAAAACTTCAGAAAACCAAACTCTGACAAAAACTGACAATTCTAATTTATTTGTAATGTGGGGTGTCATGTGGGAGAATGGTAAGTTTAGTAATACAATTTAACTTTTTAATGCTTTAACTCACATCGGTTTTTTTCACTTTCAGATAGGGGTGCGGTTTGCACAGCAAGAGGACCGTTTTCCTTACATCGTGTCCCAGCCTTTGCCTTGGCAGGTACACTCAGTGTCACATAGTCGGAGGAGCAGCAAAGCAGATGAGGTGAGTTGTAATGAGATCTGTACCCTGGTCTAATTGGCGTCCCACGCACATTGCCATGCTGATGCACCAAGACGATTGATTCATTACAGCTAATACGACACAAGTTCACTCACATGCACATGGCCCGGCAAACCCCCGTTCCAAATCCTCTCTGCTGAGTTGCTTCACTTGAGTCTTCTCAGGGTTACATATTTCAAAAGATAAAATGTGGTCATTTTCGAATGAACTTTTTTTTTTCATACAATTTGGATTTCCTCTGCCAGCGTGGCTGGATTTATTACTCATACAAATGACCTCTTCCTAATCCTCTGTTATCTAATGGTGAGACAGAGCATGTGGAAAGTTCAGCAGTCAAGCTTGAGTCAGCATGTGAGCTTATAAGCTTGGTCACGTGTTCTGTTTGCTTATAGTTTCTCAATGGATGACTGCATTTAAAAAATATATATAAATTAGTTTGTTGGGACTCGGCAGCGGGCAAATAATATTAGATTAAAATATGTGATTCGGACAGTAAAACAATAAGCTTTTGACCCGCAATGAATGAATCATAAGTCCTTGTACATAGATCATCACTGACCATGACTTAAGTTATTTTACTTTTCCTCAGGCTTTCATTTAGATTCCTTCATCAACAAGTCAATTGATGTCCAAACTGCTCACCTCTGATAACCTTCTTATTAGAAAAAGCCTGTGTTGTCCTGCTGTGGACTTTTCTAAGTTTAGGATTACTGATTTGAAGGTTTACTTTTGACGTGTGTAAACCTTTATAAAGATGAAGGTGACAAATCAAAGACAAATAGTGTTAATAAGCTGGACGGCAGGAAGACCATTTTTGGTGGTTAAGTAAAGGCGCAAGTTGTGTCTAAGACTGCCCCCAGTAAATGTACCTTAATGTCACTTGTAAAGAGATAATGTTGACCTCTATGATAAGGTCATGGAGCTCGTGTGTGGGACTGGCACACAGCCAGACTGACGCGTTAGCATGCTAAGCTTGTCCAGTCTTCCGCCTCTGGCTTCTCTGCCTCTGCTCTGCTTGAGCTATAATCCCAATCAAGGGGATTGGTGTTGGAGGTCATTATTCTAGCCGTAGATGAAAAGGACACACAAAAAGGTGCAGTCACACATGTAAGTTGCAGTCATTCGTGAAGCTCTGCACATTTTGTACAGCTGAGTTGAAGAATGTTGCAAAAGCGATTGAGTGACTATCTGGTTTCATGTGTTGGATTTAGTACCGTCAGTGGTATGTGAACAATGTTTCTTCCAAGCTCCAGATAAGATCGTAACGTTGATAATTGTCATACCTGACCAGTATCAACTCATCTTGTGCCTTTGTGCGTCACTGAGTGTCTTCTAATTCACAGATGTTCTGTTTCATTCACAGTTTGATGGCTACAGGAGGAACAGCATAGGCGTGTATAGAAAGAGTAAGTACAACTGTTTATTTAAAGGCGGGCAACTTTTCTGTCATATTAATTCATCTTAAAGGGGACCTATCATTCAAAATGCACTTTGTGATGTCTTTTATACACAAATATGTGTCCCCGGTGCGTCGGGGAACTCATGCAGCGTCAGAAAATAAAATCCTCTCTCTTTTCCTCCGTACCCAAATCTTATAAAAACGGGTGTACAACGAGCGGATACAGATTTCCATCAGCTGTGACGTCTGCGGACCCACAGAAAGTTGCTATCAGAAACAATGCCTGACGTGTTTTGGACGTAATCTCGTCTTTGTTTACATTAGCAAGCCTCGCTAACACTCAGAGCTAACCTGTACTGAAGAGCACAAAATAAAAGCAGGAAATAAAAAAAGAACTCACCTTGTGATAAACCTGCAAGAGAAAAAGCATTTGAGCTCCATACTGTTTCAGAAATAATCCTTGATGTGGTTTAGAACAGGATGGCGTTTTATCACAACCGAATTTAACTTTATCTCCAGTAGAATTCTGATCAGGCATTAGCTCCGCCTCCTCTTCTTTTTTTTTTCAAGCTAAGGACCCAAGTCCGCGTTTCTCTAACAGGGCTGCAAAAGAGGGGTTTGAGCAGTATGAGGCATGGCTACAAGGGGTGATCTGTTTGGTATTTTGAAAAAAAAACTTCACAGACATGTTTTGTATAGGTATGGCCCTACAATATATGTTTCAAATATAGTATGATAGGTCCACTTTAAATTACTGAATTCAAATCAAATGTCACATCTGAATGAGTAAAAACATAAACCAGAAAACTTGCCCACTTAAAAAAATGTGTTTCGACTTAATCAATGCTGCAGACTCTTCCTCCATGGCTATTGCTTCAGCCTCTCTGGCTATCCTGTCGTGCTCGGGCTCCAAGACCAGCAATGGGACCGCTGCTCCCCCGCTCAGCCCGGTGGAGGTGGAGAAGGCCGCCGCCACCATCCAGACCCATTACAGGAAGTTCCAGCAGAAGAAACAGAAGAACGGCAAGTAGGCGGACAAAGAGGGATGGAGGTACCGATGCAGCAGCCTGGGAGACAACAGGAAGCAGGTGGGAGGAATCTGGATTCACCAAACAACGGATGAACTCTGTGACTATACAAATGCACACATATTCATACTGTACAATATACATTTAGGGGAGCTTTGAATTAGTAAAACACTGTGCAGAATAAAATAACCGTAGTAGTTTCTTTCTCCAACAACTGGAAAGATTTTAAATTCTATGTGAATGATTTGTTGTATATATTACAAAATCTGAATGAATGTTAGTTGTGTGCTCTGAATACTGAGTGACTGTGTGTGTGACTGTGAATGCTGTTAATAAATATAACCAATGTTATATCCAATATAACAATATTGAGAGGAACACATATTATAATGCGTCAACATTTCTGATCTTATAATAGAACGTGTAGAAAAACAACCTATTTTAATAAACTCCTCTTTAAGACTTGCTGTGTTTCATTGCAGCATGATGCCCTCTAGTGTTTCAATCAGGTTCTGAATCATATTATGAAATAACTGCACTTCCAGTGGTTTAAACATGCTGGATTGGAGTCTGTAAAAAAAACCCTGCAGTTGCTTTTATTTTATTTTTTAAATAAATACATGTATTTATTATTTTGCAATTTGTTTTCACATAACTGGCTCTGCCTTGTTTGTTTTGACTGACACAAAGTTACGTTTTGAAAATGGTTTTGGATTAATTGACAATTACTTGTAAACATGTTTAGTCTGTATTCATTTATAAAGTTATGGATATATTTCCTTATGTCTTGTTTGTATTTGTGTGTGTTACTTTGAACCGTTTATTAAAGTAACCTTAGATTGACCATAAAATGTACAGATTATTTACACATTAAATTATTTTCTTTCTAACAAGTAGTAACTCAAATTGCATTTAGTTGGATTTCAATCTAACAGACACTATTGAGAGCTGCATTTTGGGTAAATGGTTTTATGTGCAGGGGTTCAATCATGATTGGTTCTCTCAAAGTCTCACATTGTTTTCACTCACCTCTAACGGCATCACATGCAGGTATTTTGTATTTAATTTGCCCAGATTTTGAGAAAGTACTCAGTGATTTCTTCATCCACAATGACTTTCTTTGTTGCAATGCTGAAAACATTAAAAAAAAACACGTTTTAACCCAATGCCTCCAGTACTAGTGTCACCAACACGGAGATAAACCTTTTCATTTAAACTGCTTCAGGATGACTGAAGCAGTTTATACAAAGTCTTTACAGGTTGGGGCCAAAATGAGCGAAATACTTTGACAAACTAGTTAGTCTTGTCTTTAGGAAGTTCAGATTACAGTAAAGAGTGTATACAGAAAGCACTTGTTCTACCTTCATGGTTAAGAAAGAATGAATAATTTCATCACAGTTCATAGAAAGATAGCTTTATTGCACAAGGTGTTGAGTACTCTTTTTTTGTTTTTGTTTGTTTTCATAGAAAAGAAAATGTAGAGTTAAACACAAGCAATTGCAAATTGAAGCAACGTTTCCCCGTAAAAGTTTAAGGAACAACCTCTGCATCTTTAAAATGTTTTCATTAACCTGCCATTTTAAGTTGTTCTTTTCACCATTTCCCTTTCTCTTTTATAACCAGCAAAAATTTCAGAGCATGCAATGCTGCTGTCCTCCCCCCAAAAAGTGGAATAAAAAAAGGCAAATGCTAAATAAAGCAACCTGTGATAAAGTAAAACAATTCAAACAAAAAAGATAAAAATTAACAGAAAAAAAAATTAGAAACATTTTTTTAAAAGAGGACAATGCAACCAAATGTCCTCTAAAAGAAGAAATAAATATTGTTAACTATGCATGGCCCACTCTGACACGTTTCAACTGGTTCATAAATCAAGATGAAGCAGTGTCTGTATATTCCTATAGTATTTCCTTGTCCTCTTCTGTTTCATTACAATAACGTCAGTTCAAAGTTTACATTGTGCCCTGGTTTCTAGTGAAGATGTCGAAAATAGTACTCATTTATACAAAACACTTTCCTATGTACACAAGTCTTCTATTATGGAGTTAAAATAATGTAAAAGGTGGGGGAACAGTGAGAGGGAAGATCGTATTGGTTGAGCAGATGCGGAAAGGTTGGGGAAGTAGGACATGTGATGTTGGCCTCAGAGTTCAAAAAGTCAGCTTGTAAAGTATTCGGTTGTATTTTAAAGAGAGAATACACCCTGATTCACTTATTTGTCAATTCAACATTGCAGATATCAACACAGGGTGCTGAGAAGAAATGTTGCTGCAACAATGATAAAGTACTGTGAACAGTTACAAGTTTAATATGGCAGTATGGTCTGCTATTTTATTCAAAAGTAACTAGTCAATGTTACACAATAACAGGCCATCTTTTCAGCTGCACATATGTTTTTTTTATATTATTTGTACATTTAACTTGAATTATTTATTTGGTCCTAAAAATATTTTTCTGCACATAAGAATGGAAAATCTATAATTTAGGAACCAAAATACTATAGTATTGTGTAGTTTGCAATAATCAGGCTGTTTTGAGTTTAATTTCAACCAAGGATTAAACAAAATTATTGGAATACATAAAAGGAATAGTTAAACATTTAAAGAAATACGCCTCTTTGCTTTTTCGTAGAGACTTAGATAAGATTAATCAGTATAACAAATGTAAGACCATCAAGTCTCCACTGGTTAGAGGGTGGACGTTTCCTTAAAGGCATACAATACATATACTTTAAGCAAACTGACTATATATCAGTGATTTAGAGGCAACTTCAATGAAGAATAGGGAAAAGCAGGTTTGACAGGAGTTTGTTTTATCACTCCATCCAATATCCATACAACTGTATATATGAGGCCTCTGTTTCTGGTTGCTAAAACAGGACAGCCCCATTTCCGGACTTGTTTTACTGAAAACAATATTTGTACAACGTGAAACATTAAGGCCAAAAGAAACAATTAACAATGAAAAGCTAAATGCATTTATCTCCTGTGTAGTTTTAAATTAAATAGAGCATTAACACATATATGAGAAGTTACTGTGTGGTATGTTTATTGGCTTGCAGTCCAGAAGTTTGAGCTCGCTATGAAACGGAAAAGAAACAGAAACACTTTTCGGTCTGTTTGTTTTCATTAACTAAAGTCAGATAATGGCATTGAGTTTGTGAACAAACCTTTGGAAGGTACAATACAACATATTACAACAGGCTCACTTACTGTATAGGCTTCCCTTGTTTTACGGTTTTCTTTTTCAACACCACACTTTCTGCACTGAGCCATAGACCACAGTTAACCAGCGACACAATCTCACACTATAATTTGACTTTACTGTGCTTTCCTCTCAGCCTCGCCCTGCTGCACAGGAGTTGGAGCTGGAACATTTACAATATCACAAGGGGGGTCATTGGATCATTCCTCAAACCTCAGTTTCACCATTTCACTTTCTTTCACACCACTTCTCCAAGATCTCCCATCCATGGTTGTGCTACCCGTTTAAGCCTCCCTCTTCTTCTTTCTCTTCCTTCTCGCAGTTTTTCACTCTGAGCGATTGTCTTGTGATCTTTTATATATATATATATATATTCAATTAGAACGTTTTTTATATTTCTCTGCTTTTTTAATATTCATATATTTGCTATATATTTGAATAGAAATATATATGTACATACTTTTGAAAACAAACATATATCATATCTTTTTTTCTATTGCGAGAGCCCTGATGTTACGTTTTGCCATTGCAAAACATTTGGAGCAACTCTTTTTGGAACGATCTTTGTTATGGGATTAAGCTTTGGGAGAAGAAATGGGAAAAACAAGTTAACCAAAAGTTAGCAGATACAGTACCATGCATAAAGCTCAAATAAATTCAGTGAGGTGGAGGGACTTGAAAACACATCTTAGTTTTAAAGACCGCTTATTTCTCTTCTATGTAACCCCCTCTTCCCTTTTCTGCAAATTCTTTTAACACTTGATCTCTCTGTCTATAATCTTAAAGTCATTGTCCGTTCATCAATTCAAGATAATTTCATACAAATATTATTGTCTTTTATACATCTCAGTAAATTTGCTGTAGGCCTACGTTTGAAACTTTTGCTTCCATTCAAGTTGTCATTGAACGTCAAGTAGCATTTCTGCCTGTCTGTGCATATGAGACCTCTCAGTCCAGCTGTCTTTTAACTAGCCCGTATGCTAGCAGTAGGTCACAGTGACACTGTATGGATATGATGGGAGACTGGGTGGGCGAAGGTGGGAGATATGAAAGGGGAAAAGTGGATACAGGTCAAATGTGTTAAACAAAGACTAATGACATTGTGGAACGATGATGGATCATAATGGGGTTTTCATCCTTCTTTGTTCTGAGGAAGAGAATAAAGTAAGGATCCTGTTTCTTCTGTAAATGCTCTTTTGTGAACCCACTTCATTTTCAGTATTATTTCCTAATCAATGCTGTCAATCACACTTAAAAAAAACAATTTTCATAATGCTGGACCGAATTAGGATCATAAAGTTACATCGTCAGCATTATCATTGTTACTGTCCCCGATTCCCCAAAATCAACAGAGGGGGGGAGGGTCAGTTTACACAGACATCTGCCCGAGAGGTCAGCATACAGATTGATTTTTTAAAAGATCCACTGTTGTTGTGTGCCTGCCAAATGTATACATATATATATTTAATATACACGCACACACACACACACACACACACACCACACACACACACACACACACCACACACACACACACACACACACACACACACACACACACACACACACACACACACACACACACACACACACACACACACACACACACACACACACACACACACACACACACACACACACACACACACACACACACACACACACACACTTGTGAAGGTTTCTGTTACTTGGATCCATTCTAACTTTTCTTAGTGCACATGAGATTATATTTCCATTATTAGAAAATAAACTGAAAACTGATGAAAAAGAGGGTTTGGATTCACTTGATGATGCTTGACATTTGTTGTATGTCCTCTGTTTTGAGTCTGTTTAAAAAAGCATAAATTAAGACCACTATGCTGTGTCATCCATTGTGTGTATAAGAAGATTCTCCAAATCTCAAAACTGGTATTGAGATGTCAGTCCTTCCACTAAGAGCCAGTGTAACACCAAGGTGGTTTATGCATACATTGAAAGCATCCTGCCATGGCACAATGCTGTGATATGAGCTCTTCTTCCATCAGAAACCAGAAAAGCAACATATTTAATAACCTAAAAACATCACAAAAAAAAAACTTGGTTCATTCTATGACTGTCTTGATCCAGAAAACAAGACAGTGCACGTGGAAAGCATTTTGTGCATAAGTACTTTGTCCTTGCCAGAAAATGAAAAAATGAAGTGAACAGATTAATCATTTACGGTTTGGCAAGTGATTTCCAGGGTGATGAAATTAGGGATAGAGAAAGATGACACAATAATAATAAAAAGCAATCAGGCAGAAAGAAAGGCAAACCCCTGTGCTGTGGAGACCCAGCTCTGATCCCTTCATACAGTCGTGTCAATGGGACCCCCAGCAGCTCCCTGCAGCCCGACACAGCGCAGGCACTGACGGGTCGGCTGGGCATGTGTATGTTTCTCTTCTCACTTCATAGAGGCTCCAGGCAAGCGCTGGCTTGACCAGCATTTTATTTAGAGTTACAGTGACAGGCCAAGGTGTTGGCAGGCTACACCAGTGTGTACGACTTGGAGTAGGCCCCCGCCCCTCCATCTCTCTGCTTCTGCAGTCTGCCTAAGCCCGAGGAGCTGCTCTCCAGGAGAGAGTCTCTGGATCCTCCCATCTTGGAGGAGGCCCCTCCAGGAGTCCCTCCTGTGGCCCCTGAGGAGGAGAATGCAGCGGCTGCAGCAGTGGCAGTAGCAGCGGCCGCTGCACTCTGGGCCATGGAGGCAGAGGAGCCTGGCATGGTGAGAGTCCTCTGGGGGAGGGTGGAGCTGCTAGAGCTAGCAGACGCACCCCCACCACAGGCTCCTGTTGCCCCTCCAGAGGAAGAGAGGTTGGACAGGCCAGAGTGGCCCATGGTTAGGGCCTGCTGCTTTACCGAGTCCATAGTCACATGACGGCCCTGGGTGTGGTATGCCCGCTGGGCCAGGCCACGAATGGAGGCTTCACGTGGGGGGACCACTGGACAGGGGTCATGATGCTCGGACTGCTTTCGGAAGAAGGGATCTGACTTCATGTAGAGGGGAAGGTTGCAGTAGTCACCTAAAGGGGAAAAATTACATTTAATGTGTTAAAAGTTTAAAACCTGAAAAACCCAACGCCTATAAATAATTATCAGTGCTGCATCAGACAGAACTTTACCATCCTTCTAAACTTAGTTGTATGTGTTGTTTATGTGCATTTCTATATTATTGTTTGATGTTTTTTTATATTTACAATTCTGTTATAATGCTTTTTTGTTGTATCCTTAACTCAGCTATCTAGCCGTGTTTAGCTATATAATGGCTATTTCTGCTGTTTGACAATGAATGAAAGTCATAATACATATAATCCTTCAAATAATAGCTATAAACTCTATTTATGCTCTGGATCTTAAATTGCATCGTCCCTATCAAATACAAATATACAATTTAACTATTAGTATACTTCTGATATATTAATACGTCGATTTGTTTTGACCTATTAATGATTAAATCCAAGTTAAAAGTGCCATGTGAAAATAATTACTTATAAAAAAATGAATGCTTGCAGCAACCACTCACTCTTGGCGCGGTGTGGAATGGGCACAGCTACATTCTTGCCACGATCGTAGTCCTGGGGTTTGGGCGGTGAGGCAGTGAAGCGGCAGATACCAGGCTCTGAGGGAGTGCTCATGGACGTCATGCTGTCTGCATTGTCGTTGGTACCTGTAGTCATCTGGTCAGAGGAGCTGTCAGAGATAAAGCATTCAGTAATCTCAAACTTGGCATGCTGCAGGTGTTCCTCTAGCTTGGCATGCTCATATGCTCTCGCCAACTCCTCGTAGGTTGAAGAGGCGCTCTCTGTCGACACCATGCTGTTGCGACCCTTATCTAAGAAAGATAATGGAAAAGAGAGAAAGTTAAGCACATTTTGTCCAGTTCAAAAATAATGCTTTCTGAGATGTAACCCACTGCAAAACCACATTGTCCTCCACATTTGAAAAATAGCCTTACTTAATATGTGCATGTTAATGGCTGTAAGTGTAATTCATCCCATGTGCCAACCTGTGTCCTGTGAGAGGCTGGCGCTGTAGCTGTCACTCTCGGTGACAGTGATGCCATGCTGGGAGCCAACTGTGCGCCAATCTGAGGTGAGAGTGCGGGCTGGCGTGGAGGACTGGCACTTGGTCAGAGTCCACTGACTGGAGTAGCGGTTCCTGATGCTGTGGGCTGACTTTACGCTCTTCCTTGAAACTGGGTCTGGTAAAGAAAATGGATGAAGAAATAAGGCGAGTGAATGAAAAAGCATTTGCAAAACTAATTGCTTTTATTCACATGCTCTGCTACACGAGCACTGTTTTGGTGTAGTTAAAGTTTGTGCTGATAAAATGAAACGTGAGGAGAGAGAGAGCACTTACTGGTTCCTGGTCTGATGTCTGACATGTCAATCAAAGGACCGGTGTTCTGGATGAGGGCGGGGTGATGGACGGACACACCTGTGCAGAAGCTTTGAGGGTTTCCAGTTTGGTTGAACTCTGTGTCTGTCACAGGGATAGTGGCTTTGTCTTCACCTATAAGAGACATCATTAATATATTTGAAATTCAGTTATTGCAAGTCAAATACAGTACAGTACACATACATTATTAGACATAACACTAATGCACAGACGCCTGAAAACACAACAACTCTCTTTTTCTTTCCCGTCCTCTCACCAATTTGCTTGATGCCTTCCTTGTCCTCAATGAGCAGCTGCACTCGGGGGATGTCGATGTGTAAGCGTGGGCCCTGAGGAGGTCCCTTCACTGGAGTGTCAAAGCTGCGGTTGTTTTTACTAATACACAGTGTAGACGAGCAAACAAAAAAAACATTTAGAAAAATACAGGTATGTAAAATACATTTTGAGATGCACTAAGTAGTATCTCTGACAGGTTATGTAGCAGGATTCTGAAATGTCAGTCTTACCTGATCAGCATCTCTGCCAGGCTTTTGGCATCTAGAAAGACAAGAGACACAAATGATTTATTTCTGACACACAAATCAATCTTCTAAAAATAAATGCAACTTTCGATTCAAGATTCTCTCTTAAATTTGCTTCGGGCATATCTGTTGGAATGCTTTGTTTATCTTGTTGATTCCTTCCTACCACTTCTCTCACCTCTTAGTCTCTTCAGCCTCTTTTCTTTGCGTTTCCTGCGAATGATGAAGAGCAGCAAAACACCCAGAGTGACCAAGATCACAGGACAACCAATAGAAAACAGCTTCTTGACATCATCGTTCTTTTCCAGAGGGGATTTGATTGGTGGAATTGTACCTACAAAGAGGAAGAGCAGAGATTACTAACTGCCATTTCCAACAACATTTAAGATAAACCGGTGTTGTGATTTGTTTCATTAGTTTAGCAGACAAAACCATTCATTCATATTGAATGCCAAACAAAGAGTGTTCTACTTACTGCCATCATAGTCCAGGGTTGCAAACTGGGAGCTCTGGTTGCCACAGCCAGCACTGTTGCAGGCTTTCATCTTCAACTCATACCAGGTCGCCTCACGAAGCTCTGCCAGGAACACATCTGCTGTGGCATTGGTGCGCACATTCTGCCATGCCCATGTACCTGCATCAAGTACACATAGCAATGTTGAGTCTGTTCTAATTTTTCACTTTATTGCATTTCTTGATGATGATGGAAAGTGACCTGAGAACTGGCAACACCATTTTTGGTTCACATGCAAACTTTTTCTATTTGATTTGTTACACAGTATGTTAAAATACTTTTGCAAAATTGACAAACAGAGACTTACCTTTTGGTCTAAACTCTAGTATGACAGCGTTGATGGGACAGCCTCCACTGACCCAGCCCTGCAGGTTGAGGCGGGCGTGGCTGGAGTTAAGGTGGGTGAAGACCGGCTGATCCTTGTTGAACTGGGGTTCTTTAAAAGGAGGAGAATCAGATATTTGTATTTTTCTCTTCAGAATCACACTGTGCCACATTAAAGGTAATTAGTGAGCTTAGGACAACATCAGCAGGAATATATTTAAATAAGTGTAATTAAAATGGAGCAAATACAAAGTCCCAGAACAATGCAATGAATGTAAAAAGTCCTTCACAGCTGGACTTGAAGTAAGCGATGAAGGATTTATGTGTTCTAATGATCTTGTTATGTTTGAATAAATGGTAGATATGTTAAGCTTCATTGTTGACTCCACCACTGAGACCACTCACAAAATATGCCTTTCGTACTGTGTTATATTGTTCGAAGATTATTCCACCATATCCTGGTAATATCAGCTTTGAATTGTGATTTGTAACCACATTCCTTTCCTTCATCCTATAGGACATGTCTCTTACCTCGCCCATGGGTCTTTGCTTCGATGATCTCACTGATGCGTCCGGCTCCCACACTGTTCTTTGCAGCCAGCTTCACTTTATACCAGGTGCCACAGCGCAGGTTGTCCAGTTTGAAGGAGCGTTCACTAGAACTGATGAAAACATCTTTCCATTCCTCTGTGTTGTCTACAGAGTACTGCAACACGAAACCTGCACACACACAAAATAGAAAATGCACACAATCATTATCATACTTTCTGTTGTGACATACAAAATGTCATAGTGGTCTGACATAAAAAAAAGTCACATGTTGTGACTCGTGACCCATTCCACAAGATTTCCCTTATCTTGCTGGCTCCTTTATTTTGTTCAGGTTCCAAATCATCCACTTGGTGAGCCTTCTATCTCTTCCCTGGCAGGCGCAAATGCTGTTTTGCTTTGACTGCTACAGAGGATTTCCCTTACCAAATATTCTCCAATGACTGAATATGAATATGATTATTTGTTTAAATTCAACCGGTCTACCATTTCTACCATAAATAATTTCATAATTAAAATCGTAGATAGTAGAATATGTCGTGATGTAGATTCACTTATGATTGTCATAGAAACAAAACTATAGTATAATATAATATTAAGAATAGTCAGGGTATCTTGCATCATAAAAAGGTCATAATAATGTCAGAAAATGTTTTATAGTATATTATGTAATAAGGAGTGTTATATTATTTTGAATACATGCCTTAGAAATGGCGTACAAAGTTAATTGAATAGTATGTACAAAACTAATTGTTGTCAAAAATATAATTTAAAAGTAATTACAAAATATACGATAAAAGTGGAAGAAAATGTGATTCTATTTAAGTCAAACAGTCAAGATAAAGAACTTCATTTGCACCAACCCTACTAAACATTTCACATGTGTACCCTGACTGTCCACCAGATGGCAGGTCAGACCTTCCCTCGCACAGACGGGCCCTGATTGGAGGACAGTGTAGCTGCTCGCTGTCTACTCCGCCATTAGTTACCTACAAACCCCAACACTGGGATGGCGCTGACTGAGCATCTATGCAAATGAGGGTATGCAATGTGGTGACTGTTTTTATAATCAGCTGCCTTGAAAGCCAACTCCCTGCTGCTCGGAGACACTTTACATCCAATCCTCAGTCTCTTTCCTTCTGTCTGTATATAATTATGTATATATAAATGTCTCCCTCTCTGTGTTTCTTTGTACTCTCTGTACCATTTATTTCTCCATCTCTCTCTAACAGATGGTGTGATAGAGTCCAAAACATTAGAGGGGTTAACACATGCAGATCCTGCAGTGTTTGTTTTTAAGTTTTGGAGTCACCCTGTCTGTCACGGAACAGAAGAGAACACAGAAGAACATAGAAGAAGGAACAGTAAGGAACAGCATTATAACAAACTACTCAGGATCACTAGCCTATACAGTTGGTTAATTTGATTATTACACAAGCGGCAAAGAGGCCTCTTTTTTAATGAAAGCTAACATGTTTGGCCACTGCAGTAGTAATGTTAAAAGAGATCCTTGACTGCTGACACTGTGTCGAAATTCACACACAGACATGCATTGTGGTATACACACAAGATAAAGGCTTCCCTGATGTACGAGACACTGGATGATGGATGCAAATATTGCTTGGTGGAACATCATGATTTTAATACACACTATACAAATGACTTGGTATTCCCTACTTGCAGAGCAGTATTTAAACCCACATGAATAACATACAAATGTATTTAGCAACAGCTTTTGGCAGAATTAAAGTATAGTTACCGACTGACCCAAAGGGTTCAAAGAGCTGTTAAACAAATTCTTTAGTAATACAATGTGGGACAATAAGTCTCTCTGGGTGCTGTGATGTCTTGAGCCATTACCTTTATAGTTTAATATAGGCATAAAGAGCAACAACAAGTCAGAAAGACAACCCTGAAACAGCCTCTTATTGACAAACGGCATGAACAAAGAAAAGGGATTAAAACCACATAGGCATGGATGTCCACTCAGGCACACACATCATGCCTATCTTCACACCAGAATCACCAACAATCGGATAATCAAAGAGACCCAGAGTTAACAGGGAAACGTAAAACCAGAGGGCCAATCAATAACTAATAGATAATGTGCACATTAACAATGTGCCGGATCAAGGAGAAAGAGAATACAGACAGAGGGTAAACTCAGAGGTCAGTGGGAAATATTTTTTCTTTCAAAACACAACTTGACGACCTCAAGCTAACTTTATATACCTTTAAACACATTGGCAAATATGTGACAAGAAGAAAGAGATGTGAGTTGGCACAAAAAGAGACAGCTTTGTTCGGCAGGGTCATGTACCTCTAATAGAGCTCCCTCCGTTGTCTCCTGGTATCCAAGCCAGAGTGATGGAGGAGATGGAAGTGGTGGAGACGGTTAGACGAGGCTGGTCAGGAGGAACTGAGGAAGGGACGCAAAGAGTTAACAGCTCAATATCATGTGTAATAAAATATGTGGGAAATTATTTTTAACGGGGTTAAAAACATGTCACTATTTCTCATTTTCAGCAAGTATTTTAAGTGAGATGCAACAATAATTGGGCGGCTTGAATGAAAGGCCTGAAGGTTATTGCCATTATTGTCAATTATCCTACCTTGTACCACAAGGTTGACAATGATAGTGTCGAAGCCCAGCGTGTTGGTGGCCGTGCAGGTGTAGTACCCAGAATCCTCAGCTTTGACCGCACGCAGCACCAGCGTCCCATTGGTCAGGATGAGCCGCTGTCCATCTAGAGACACTGGGATGGCTGTGTCCTCACTAACAGAGAAAGGAATCATTTTAATAGGTTAACATGCTATTTACCTTGTTATTTAGTCTTGATTAACATAGGATGCAAAACAATCCAAAAGCATGGGGTCAACAAGATAGTTGTACTAACTTGTGACATAATTCCATCGCTATATATAAACAACTGCAAACAGTAACTGACTTTTCCCTAAATCAACTGAGATACTTCAATACTTGTTCACTTTTAACAGGTATCACACTAACACCATAAACTCAGATTTACACAATAATTCTGGGAAGGTTTCTCACCTGTCTTTGGTCCATTTGATGGTAGGTGTAGGTTCTCCTACTGAGCTACAGGGCAGTCGCACCTCCTTCATCCAGGGGGTCGTCACTGTGCCCCCAAATGAAAGGATCTTAGCCGGGGCTGGTGAAAAATGAAGAGAGGAATGTAAAGAATTAAAGTGTATGGAGACTGTTAGAGCTATTGGTATTAACAATTACACAAGAACAGTTGTTTTCTGTTCTAATTAATATGTACCAATCGGTTAATCTTGGCCTTGTCAGATAAACAATTTTCAAACCCCATAAACAAATGCTTTAGGTTTCAGTATGTGTCGAATCAATAGAGAAATGTGATGGTTGAAATGCAATTGATTTGTTTTCCATTTGGGATTCTTTCAATAAACATGATTTACCAGTAGAGAGTGTGCAATGTATTTACCGTGATTCACACTCAGGGGGGAAATAAATCTATGTTTAATGTGACATTGTCCAGCTCAGAAAAGCATATGAATAAAAATACAAGACAGGACGAAGAATGAGCAGAGAGGATATTAAAAAAAATATCCATCCATTCAGGCACATAACCCTCTTATTCTCTATCACTCCACCCACCCGCTCTCTCTGTCTCTCTTTCTTTCTCAAGCTTGGCGTCTTAATGCAAGTGCTCTAGTGCACTTATGTTAAGGTTGAATGAAGTATTGAGTGGGCAAGCCTGGAGGACACTGCCTTTTACAGCTGCCAATCAGCTGACGCACCCACCCGTACGAGCGCACACTCGCAAACCTTTGCATCCAGCAGTCAAAGGACCGAATAGATACAGGAAAGGATAACATGGTGGGAAGTGCACTCTATTCATTCTTACTCCCTCTTTCCTTTAATCCAAAGCCTATTGATTTAACTGCCCTCTTCATTTTCTTAAACACCCTGCCTCTCTATCGTCTTGTGTATTAGTTAGCTCTCCTCCCGTCATGTCATATTCTCTCCTCTTCTTTTCCTCCACTTGCTGTCCTCCCTTTTGCTCTCCCTCTTATTATTTCCCTGATTCAGGACAGTTTATCTGGTGCCCTCTGAACTCTGAAATCAATAGCAGAGGCTCAAAAACACATAAACAGGAGGGGAGGTTGAAAATATGCAGTTATATAGTAATAGCAAGAGACAGAATAAGAGGGAGACTTTTTATACGAGTCATGAGTAAAATATCCTTTAAAAAATATATATTTGTAGTTCTTGGCATTGTCTGTTATGTCATCCACCCAACCACCACTGATATGGTGATTTGTAGGTTAAAAAGCCTTTCAGCTGTCCTGGATAAATCTGACAACGTGTGGTTGTAAAGTGAATGTTTTCTGATACATTAAATAACCAAGTTTCAACTGTATTTTAATGACACATCTTCAGTGTGAAGGAGTGTTTATATATACATTTAAATAGAGTATATCAGAAGAGTATTACACTGTTTTAAGTTATATCGTCTTTATTTCCCCACACATTCCTCCTCATTGTCAAAACTGCTCCGTACATTGCCAACAATGCAATCTTACCTGTGACAATTTGGTCAAAGATGATGTTGTTATGCTGGAGGTACCCCCATACTTTATTGGGATTCATTTGTGAACCCCCCTTGTTGAAAGAATGATTAAATGTAACCTAGGTAGCAACAATTGCTTCCAAGCACTCGGATGTTTGTCTCTCGTTTCTGCCTTTCATTTCCAGGAACTCACCTTTGGACGCCGGCTCCACAGTGACCTTTTCGCTGAAGTTCCCTCGACCTGCGGTGGTGACGGCCGCCGCCCAGATCAGGTACTGCTGTCGGTGGTTGAGGTGTGTGATCCGGTAGAACAGCAGCTCTGGATTCGCTTCATACTCACTGGGCAGCTGAATGAAGCAATACGGGAAAGAAAAAATTGTATCTTGAAGGAACTACAGGAGCAACGTGTTTTATACAGAGATGAGCGCCCTCCAAATATCTTAATTTTAATAATAAGTTCTCCATTAAAAAGATTTTATGACAAAACAATCTGCATCATATCATATGTGCTAGAGAGCATGAAGTAGAATCTGGGGGATGCCAAAGACAAGATCATATTGTCACTTTACTGGAAAGGCAGTCTTTATGTGACGGACTGAGTGAACATCGTTTTAATGTGACCTAAGCCCTATATGCTCTCCTCTCCTCGATACTACAGGAAAAGAGAGGAGGATGGGGATGAACATACAAAGGGTCCCAGGAATGTTATATTATAATAAAAAACAACAACTGTGGGAAAGGATGGCGCTGGAGGTAGGATAGGAGGCTGGATGGGAGAGAGGCAAGATGGTTGGATTGGGGCGAGTGAAGCCCACCGCCTCTCCTCCTCTGTTCTCCTTGGGGAGGGCAAACAGAGATATGAGAACAGAGGAAGACAATGGGGGACAGACAAATGAGCCAGTCAGAGATATCACGAACAGTCATACGCTAATGAGGCCTATCTACTGCAGGCATCAGTAATGACAGAAAGGAGAGGAACAAAATGGAAAGGAAAGAAAAGGAAGGGAAATTAGTGGAAAGGACCAGGAAGGAAGGAAAGGAAATAAGAGGTGAAATGGACACACAAGCAAGCACACAAACAAATATACTGACACACACATACAGTGGCATACATGACCTCGAGGTGGATGTGTAATTGCAGAGTGTTTAACCCAGCCATGTGTTTGCTGTCTAGACATATACACATCACTTTCCCTTCAGCACACACACAAATACACATTTAACAAACACACACACAGGGGCACCTACAGTGACCTACGTTTCTGACTGACAATCCAACTGCACAGGTGAAATTAAGACTGCATTACGACTGTCTAATGTTTTGAAAACGGCCTGTAAAAGCAGTGAAGACACTGCAGTGTTGCTGAGCTGCGTCCTGGCCTGCTGGGTTGTTGTCTGCAGAACGGTTTATTCTGGGCAAATAGATTCCAGTATTCATGTTGTTTTTCACATTTATGAGCAGGCCGTCATGGAAGAATCCACTGGGCTTTTTATTACTTCCCTGTGTTCCCTGTTCATCATCCATTCCTCTTGTCTCCATCCTTTCTGTATTTTCCTCTCTGCCTATCCTTCACCCCACTGCGCCATCCTTCCCTTCGCCTACTGCCATCACTCTTCATCCCTCTCTTCATTTCCCTGCCCCTCTCCACATTTGCCTGTCATCTGGGGGGCCCACTCTGTGCATTTCCTTCCATCTATCCACGAGAACCCCCCTCTGTTTTACATCTTCTCTGCGTATATCTATGTCTTCTTTTTCTCCTTGTTTCTCTCTGTACATGTGCCTCTATAGTTTCTACTGCAGGCAGTGGTATGGGCAGAGGGATGGATGGATGGATGGGTGGGTGGGGTGTGTTGTGAGAAAGGGAGGGAGGAGTGACAGAGTGTGTTGCTGTAACGGATATTAAAATATTCCTCCGGCGTGGAGATAGCGGTGATCCGGGGAACGATAGAGCGAGATAATGAAAAGAGGAACAAAAGTACTCCCCGTGCGGTGTGTCTGACCCCCCCATCCCTCCTTCCTTCTCTCCAGTCGCACTCATTTACATAGTAATCATCCCGAACTCTGCATGGGGGCTTCAGAGAGAGAGAGAAAAAGAGAGGGAGGGAGGGATAGATAGATAGATAGATAGATAGATATATAGATAGAGTGTGTGTGTGTGTGTGTGTGTGTGTGTGTGTGTGTGTGAGTGTGTGTGTGTGACATGTGTGCAAGTATGCAACCAGGATATATTTCTTGCTTTTGAATTCACACTGTCATAAAAACATGAGTTGCATAGATGGATATGGAACTCTATACGCATGGTGTGATACATTTATGAGTGTGTGTGCGTAATTGAGAGTGTGTATTTGCTGTCGGCTTGTTTTTCTGCCCTCATTGATGAACAGATGAGGTTGTCCTGGCAACGTGATGAGACGCAGATATGCAAATGAGGCTGGATGGTGAGCTTGCACGCACACACACTGCGGTATGAGGAGAGCTCATTTCACACACACACACACACACACACACACACACACACACACACACACACCACACACACACACACACACACACACACACACACACCACACACACACACACACACACACACACATCTAGCTGAGACTGCAGCACTAGACCACACACACACAGAGACACACACACACCAGCATTACCAGCTATGTTTGGATGACCCTCTCCCTCTTTTTTCTTTCTAATCCTAAAACTCTCTGCACCCCTCTTGTAACTCACCGGTTGGCCGGACCCGGGGCTGGAGCAGTAGATGGTGTACTTGCGGATGATTCCATTTGGCTTGTGAGGGGGTAACCAGGACACCACGACACTGCTGGAGGAAGAGGGCACAGTTTTGATGCCAGCCGGGGGTCCGGGGTCTGAATCATGAAGAAGAGCAAAGAGAGAAAAGGTGGGGCAAACCATTAAAAATGTGAACCAGTATTCATTCCTAGCCTGTAGGTTAACAGAATAAATAGATCCTTAAAAGGTGTACACTACACAGCATAGGGATTTGTGGGCAGATGTTCCCTATTGTAGTTGCTGCCTGTTAAAATTAAATTAAATCACAAGCGCCAAAAAACATTCACATGAACCCACTAGACACATGAAGGTGGTTAGTACTCCATACTTAAACGTACAATATTTGAGATATTGCAGTAAGCTTTATACAGAACACTTTTTCTACTGTACTTTGATGGCTGCCATAAGACACATTTTGAACCTCACATTTGAGCAACATTCGTTGTGCGTGCAGTTAAGGGCCGTAATTATGAGTTGATCAACAGCAAATTAATCTTTATCTTTTCTTCAATCTCAAATGTAATTTTAATTCAATTTCTTTGACAGTAAACGGACTATCCTGATTGCTGTTTTGACTAAACAAGTATTTGAAAAGGTCAGTCTGTGGCTTGGGAAAGGGCATTTTCCACAATTTTCTGACATTTTATCGACCAAACAATTAATTGACACGATGATTGGCAGATTGATTACTGGGTAGCACTTTACAATAAGACTACCCTTATAAAGGATTCATAAAGGGTTTATAATTAGGTTGTAAACACTTTATTAATCATTAAGAACCATTTATAAACCAGTTCTAACATAGTTTGCATACATCAACACAGGCTCACTATTTGGCAAGATGACTAAGCCTTATATTGGCTACCTAGTTTACTTCGTCTTCTTCATCAACCAGCATCCTTGGTATCTGTTGCTCACTGAGTTGATTCTCCCCCCATCCATCTTAATGTTTCTTGGCATCTCTTATGACCATTTATTAATGAGTTACTTACTAACATTTATAACTGCCAAAAGGGAGCCTTATTGTATAGTGTAACACACATTCCCATTTATTAATGAGTTACTAACATTTATAATTGTTAAAATGCAGCCTTATTGTAAAGTGTGAAACAAACACCATTTATGAATGTGTTACTACTATTTATAATCGGTAAAAGGGAGCCTTATTGTAAAGTGTGAAACACATCACCATTTATTGATGAGTCACTAACATTTATAACTGCTGAAAGGGTGCGTTGTTTTTAAGTTTAATACACATGTCCATTTATGTATGAGTTATAACATTCACGCTTACCTAATACACATTTTTCACATGAAATGCAAAGTAAGATGCAACAGAACCAAGCCAAACATTTTATTCACACATGAAGAAAATCAGGACTCAAAATAATGACTATTTAGTATGACTGATATACATATTTAAACATAAAAGCTTTTCTCAGACATAAATGAAAGTCTTATAAGGTGATATTCAGACTGGAAAGGCTTTGTGTATATCCTTGAACAAGCGTCCAAGCAGTCCATCAGGGTGAGCAGAGCCAAGCCAAGATGACCATTCAAGAACCTTGAGGTGTTCCTCCAACAAACTCTCTGTACGGTTTCCTCTCAGTCTACGGACATGTCCTTTGACGGTCGACCTATATATATATATATGGGGTGCTATGGTGGGGTCCCATGTACTTGTGCACATAAATAATGTTTCTAATTATTTACAATTAAAAAAAAAAAATATATATATTCTGCGTTACTTTAGCCAACACTTTTATAAGGCCACTATTAGAGAGAGAGAGAGAGAGAGAGAGAGAGAGAGAGAGAGAGAGAGAGAGAGAGAGAGAGAGAGAGAGAGAGAGAGAGAGAGAGAGAATATATATATATATATTCTCTCTCTCTCTCTCTCTAATAGTGGCCTTATAAAAGTGTTGGCTAAAGTAACGCAGAATATATATATATATTTTTTTAATTGTAAATAATTAGAAACATTATTTATGTGCACAAGTACATGGGACCCCACCATAGCACCCCACACATAACAGGCTGTCCCGAGTTCCTCTGGCTGCAGTTCCGCAGACGGCCGGTGTGTGGCAGCAGAGCGCTGGGAGCAGAGGGAGGTGAGTATATGACGGATATGACGGATGCGACGGAAATACACCCGAACATATCTGGTAGCCCGAACATATCTGGTACTGATGTCAGTGTCACTACCCGATCTGCAGCTCTGCCCGATCTGCTGTGCGCATGTGCGAGATGGTCCGCCATATTGGACAACGCCGGACGGCAACCCAAGTAGGACAACATTGACATCTAGACCGTCTGAACCATTCGCAAGTTTTTACATGTGACAAAATATGCATTGCGCATTCGCGAGTTTTTACATGTGACAAACGGTGATTTGCAGAGTTTTTACATGTGACAAACGGTGATTTGCATTGCATCTGACAGAATGAAGACTTTAGTGTTTTACAACAATTTGAGAGAATACATGTCTGAAGGTGAATTTCACACAGACCTCTCTAAAAATGAGCGAGATCAAATGCGCCGTGCGTCATCGAACTTTATAGTAAAAGGTAATTCATTCTCATTCTCCTGTTATTTTGTGTTGTGACTAACTGATCAGTTACTTAGCTCTGTCCCACGTTTTGTATTGTATTTTTATTCTATTGTATTTGTATTGCCTTTCTAAATGAAATAATACTATACAAAAAAATATTTAATTCAATATTATAATATAATTTATTATTTTATTATTATTTATAATATAATAATTGTATTCCTGAATGACCCCTTTTTTATGTTTGTGTTTTTTTAATTAATCAAGCAAAATTAAAGGATAACAAACTCCAGTTATATAATTCCATATGAATAAATAATATTACATGCAAATGACATTTCCTGTAGGATGCTGAACTCTCCCACCTCTCCCCCCATTGGACCTGGATCTTAACAACCCCCCCCCCCCCCCCCCCCCCCCCCCACCCACACACACACACAATATATTTATTGCTGTGCCTTCTTATTTGCTCGTATTATGATGGGATATGGTTTAATTTAGTAAATGGTTGTGTGTGAAAAATGTATATCTCTAAAATGTGTGTTGGTGTATGATCACATTTGTATATGAAAATGTCTGAAGTTCATAAAAACATTCCCAGTGTTCAAGTCAATCACTGCAAAGGGTGACGATATGGCAGAAGGTGCTATATATATATATATATATATATATATATATATGGAATTGTGTATATATATATATATATACACACAATTCCAAAGCTGGTAAGGACTCTTTCAAATTTAGCAATAATAGTCTGAAGAAAAGGACTGATAACAGAGATTTGCTCTAATATGTATTCAGTATGATAGGCTCTGTCTTAACCCCAAATAATAAAACACAAAAGTCTTCATTCTGTCAGATGCAAAAGTCTTCATTCTGTAATAAAACACAAAAGTCTTCATTCTGTCAGATGCAAAAGTCTTCATTCTGTCAGATGCAATGCAAATCACCGTTTGTCACATGTAAAAACTTGCGAATGGTTCAGACGGTCTAGATGTCAATTTTGTCCTACTTGGGTTGCCGTCCGGCGTTGTCCAATATGGCGGACCATCTCGCACATGCGCACAGCAGATCGGGCAGAGCTACAGATCGGGTAGTGACCCTGGCTGCTTCTCAGGTCGATTAAATTAAATCCTTGCTTCCCTCACTTGCGTCGTTTCCCTGCGTTTAGTCCCTCCCACCAGGGAAGCATGGAGGGACGCAAGGAAACCACGAGAAGCAGGGAAATGAGTTTTAAGAGCAATGGGACGTCCTTTCCTCCGGAGCGTCACGTGAAGCGACGTCCGTTTGTGATGACGCTGCACAGCTGATCGTCTGACAGCAGCTCTGTCCACGTTATTTCCACAAACACCCCCGCCTCTGTTAGTACACATTTACTGACACAAACATTTGTATCATCTGTTGTAGACCCCAATAAATAAAATAAAATAAGAACTAATTCTCAAAAAAGATAAACGCCATTCTTAAAATTTATAAACGAACAATAGTTTGATTAATATTGATTAGAGTGCACAATAGAAATAAAATAATTGAGAGAAGAAAAAGAGATATGTTATCTATCAAAACCCAGTTAGATTAACATTCATTGGATTGCACACTTTCTTTCTTTGTGTGGATATGTAGTAAATTAACATTTCAATAGCACTTAATGACTGACTGAATGGAAATGACAATAAATGAAAATGTAAAACGAAAAAAGCGATCATGAACATTTTTCCAAAAAATGAATTAAATGATTTTTGACCACTTTGTTGTTCAGATATATCACATATTTGTAACTAAATGAAACATGAATTGAAACAAAACACGGTATAAACTGAGGAGTGACTCCCGTGAGGTTCATGTATTTTCTTCACTCTGCTCTCATGTCAAGAAGCATCAAGATCAGTGCATGCACTGCCTCGTCCAATCAGTGAGCGATACACAGTAAGGGGGGCGGGGTGAGTATCTGAGGATTTCATCGGAGGATGGTCTGGTGGTTCCTCGGTTATCGCTCCTCCATGATCGCTCCTCGCTCCTCGATCCTCGGTCCTCCGGCAGAAATAAGAGCCATGGGACGGTACTCAAGATGGCGCAGGCAAATCAACTTCCGGTGAGACCGAGGACCGAGGAGCGAGGAAATGAAAATAGTCGACCTGAGAAGCAGCCACTGACACCTCCACTCTCAGGACACCTCCACTGTCAGTACAGGAAGTGACGATTCTGACGAACACGTTTTTTTTTCCCGCCCACCAAAGGACTCGTCTGATGGAAGTTTTCAAATCACAATGGAGACTCATCACGGAGGTGATGAGTCCGCCCACCGTGCACTTTGGGTCGGCCTTGGTCAAGCCCTTTTGACCCCCCCAGCCTGGTTCTCGGAGGAATGTAACGGGAGTTTGACATGTTCTACGCCACTACATACTTACATTTAAATGTGTGCTGCATCGGTTCAGCCATTCTCCGAAAGGATTTTTGAAATTGGTCCGTGCGCAAAGCATTGTGGGGATTTTAAGGACGCGAAGTCTACCCATGTGCAGCCTCGAAATTTCCCCCAAACCAAGGACGCGGCCTCGATGGAATTCCAAGTATGCTGGAGATTGGAACAGTCCTTCGGCGACGTCTGTAAATCGTTGGATAATTTTTTTTAAACTAAATAAACTACCCAGTATGAATGTTTGTATAGCCCTTATTAAAAACATTTGGTCCTCAAGTTGTAAAATGTGCTAATAACGTTATTCTGAGAGTTATTTTCCTCTGCATTATGAACGTGCATCTAACCCAGGGGACCGCGCCGCCTGGCACGTTCATGTGACGTGTTCAGTACTACGTGTTCAGTTTTACCTTTACCCATAATGCACAATAAGAACGGATTATATGATGACTTTCGTGGCGTTTCACTTTCTCAAAAGTTGGGCCATTTTTTCTTCATGCGCCAATGAGCAACTCTCATAGGAATGAACGAGGCCCTGCCTCCCACGCTGTATCCAGTTCTTATTATACATCCATGAGGCCCGAGTCCCTGTAGCATCACAGAGCTGCTAGCAGAGAGACAGAAAGCTAACAACAGCAGTCACTGGACAGACCTGTCACTCAATGTGACCACGCCCTAATGTATGCATAACTTTAAGGCTTAATATAACTTCAAAAAATTATAAATGGTAGTAACTCATTAATAAATAAGGCTCCCTTTTACCAATTCGAAATGGTAGTAACTAATAAAAAATGGGAATGTGTTTTACACTTTACAAGGCTCCCTTTTGGCAGTTATAAATGTTAGTAACTCATAAATAAATTGTCATAAAGAGATGCCAAGAAACATCAAGATGGATGGGGGGAGAATCAACTCAGTGAACAACAGATACCAAGGATGCTGGTTGATGAAGAAGACGAAGTAAGCTAGTGCCAATATAAGGCTTAGTCATCTTGCCAAATAGTGAGCCTGATGTGTTGATATGAAAACTATGTTAGAACTGGTTTATAAATGGTTCTTAATGATTAATAAAGTGTTTACAACCTAATTAATAGCCTAATTATAAACCCTTTATGCATCCTTTATAAGGGTAGTCTTATTGTAAAGTGGTACAGATTACTGGAAGGGAACACTACTTATTTCATGCATTTTGTTTGCCATATGAACATTTCTTTGTATGTAATTCCTCAATTAATTAGCAATTCATAGATCATTTTAAAGTATTTTTTCTTTTCCGGTTTAAGATGACCAGTACTTTAAGATTTAGGAAGAGTTAAACATGTAATGTTTGTGACAGTTTCAAAATAACTCAAACAAGAGCTTATAATACTTATAATAGTAGATTTCTAATGATGCACACCTTGATGCTGGTCATCATTAAACGTTTTTTTTTATAATTGCTGAAAATGTCATTTGCTAGTTGAGTAATTTAAATAAACATACATTAATTCCACAATTAACACATATCCACATATTCAAAAGAACATGATGCTTTGGCCGCCAGGGTGTGGCGGCCCCTTAAAAGGAGAAAAGAAAGATAACAATAATGGATCTCAGTCTCTTCCCTGCTACTATGCTTACTGCCTACTGTCTTCGTGAGTTAGAGGCAGAACAGAAGAAGACAGCTGAGAATTGTCTGTTTGCAGAATCCCACTGCAAACACTTTTCCATATGCTGCAGACACAACTGAGGGGCAAAGGGAAGGGGGGGAGGCGGAGAGAGACAGAGAGCGCTAAACGTATGTGAAAAGGTTGCCCCCAGACACAGTGTCAACCCGCATCAGGGCAAAGGAGACACTCAGCTTGCGCACACTCACACACTCAAAGACTAACACACGTATTTGAAGAGCTATTGCAGCGGGGCCAGCTCATAAAATGGAGATATAGTGAGGAAGAAAGAAGAAAGGTATTTTCTGAAATGACACTTCTTAGAATCTCCCCTTCCTCTCTCTTGCGCCCCCTTTACCCTCTAATTTTCTCCATCTCCAGACGCCTGCCTCCTCCTCCGCCTGGCCCCAGGGAAGGAGAGGAGAGGCGGATACGGATGTAATCCACAGCCCGCCAGTGTAAGCACAAAATTAATTCTCTCTAAGCCACAAAGAATTAATCCCCCTCCTTGTGCTTGGTGCTGAGCGAGACTTGCACACAAACAGTAGCGTTTGTACACACACACATGTACACATACACACACGCCAACTCTAAGACACTGTACACATGCAAAAGCACTTGACACCCCCCAACACTTCTCCATATTCATATTCACATGCACCCTTAGGCTCTGTAACCACACACACTCACACTTTTAGGCTTCTTAATTCTCATTAGCACTGGTAATGGCACATCAGAGCACAAAGAGGGTTTTAATCAGCAACCTCAGTCTAACAAACACGCCCTGCACCCCCCAGGCTCTCGGCCTCCCACCTTGCAGCCTAAACAAAGCACAACAACCTTTAGACCTGTCCCAAAGATGTGGTGAAAGTAATAGACATAAAGGTAAATTCATTATAGATGTGGAAAGATCTACTAAAATGTGGACTCACAGTCTTCACGGGTTTGGATGTACAGGACGTTGCTACGGACCCCATCTCCAGCCTGGGTGTAGGCCAGGACCTGGATGCTGTAGTTGGTGAACTTCTCCAGGCCTTTGAGCTCCACCTGCTCCTTGATGGTTGTGATGTTTTGCATTTCACCCCATTCTGATAAACAAAAAGACAGAGATGTTCAGACAAACGGCTGAGCAGTTTTGAGGTATAAAGGAAGAAGCCAGACACACTGAACACACCTCCGTCCGGAAACACAGCCCAGAAGATGACGCGGTATCCCTTTAACACGCCATGTAGCGTCATCCTGGGAGGCTCGGCCCATGTGATCACTGCCTCATCCGATGTTACAGAAATCGCTCGCACATTCTGAGGAGGCTGGCTGGGAACTGAAGACAAAGAAGAAGAGAGAAGAGAAATGTTAAGATCAAAACAACATATATTCAGTTATTTAACATTATGTATATCACGTAAAAAAGAATAGTCCATTCGTAGAGGAAGTAAAACATTTGCTGACTGAGCTAAGCCACAGATACAATTGAGAAAATAACTAAATGATTGAATCCCATAGAATTTAGTTTTATTTAACCCTTTACATAGCTTAAACTGGATGATCTTATTCCACATTGTCACAATATCCCGTTCATATGTCTTGCACCAGCTTATACTAGCTCTTCATTAAAGCTGTATGATGTTTATACAGAGTGAATAATTGAAAAACCCAATAGTCTAGATTGCTGTGTGCATAACTTTTACACATTTCTCTGTGAAAATATTTGGTATCTTTAGAGACTTAACTTAATTTCCCTTTTAGGTAGGATTCAGGTTTGAAATTATCAATTTAATTGATTTTGCGTCATTTGATACACATTTCCTCCAAATGTTGCCAGATATATTTGAGATTAATGAATATTTTTAGATATTTTAAAACTAAATAGGTTTGAAAAAACTGAGTTTGTAATGACTGGTCCATCACATGGTCATAGGGGTCAGAGGCTGCCATTTTCGCCTCAAAATTATATGACATTGGCAACTTAATAAATAAATACCTCCTCTCTGAAACCCCTACATTTCCATATCAAAACTGAAGTGAGCAAACAGGCTAGCGATCGATAAAAAGCTAATGACATGCGTCCAGCCTGATGTAAAGGACCATCTCTACAACCACCATCTCTCTTTCTCTGTACAAGCCTCCTTCTGTCCCCACAAGCCCAGGTGTCTCTTCTATTGGCTGCCGCTGACCATTAGTCTTTCAGGCTTTGAATAACGCACACTGTTGAAGATGAACAGAAGTCAACTTGTGATAGAAGGGGGGGCCGGAAGAGAGGAAGAGAGGCGAGTGAAAGACAGAGAGCAATGAAAGAGAGAGATTTGGCCAAGTCCACCAGGGAATTTCTCTGCAGCTGGTGAAGAGGTGGAGAGAGGAGGTGGGGGGGAGGACGGAGGAAGAGAGGGAAGGGGGATTATAATTCTGAAAAACAGGGTTTGGCACAAATAAATCTTTAAGCTAAATAATTAGAAAGAAACTAAATATGTTGTCCTACCTTAACAAGAGATATAAGACTGAGGATATGAATGAAAAGGTGAGCTGGTTTTCCAAATTGTAAGCATTAGGTTTGGGGTTAAAAAGATGGAAGGCAGATGCATGATGGGTAAACACTACAACAAATCAGTAAGACTGTTGATGTATTGAATAACCTTGCATAAATACAACATAAATGGAAGGAGAAAAAAAAGAAGAGGAATACGAGGACACAATGAAAGGCAGTTTTGGACTGGGCGACAAGGGTGGAGGAGGAGAAGGGGGTGAGGGGCGGAGGAAGAAGGGAGGAAGGGAGTTAAAAGCAAGGGGGGCAAGGGAAGGGCAGAAAAAGATGAAAAGAAGGAGCAGAGAGACAATGTGCTCAGCTGTGGATAATTACAGCAGGAAGCAGCGGAGGGAACGAGAGAGAGAGACAGACAGACAGAGAGACAAGCTAATTATAATTATTTTTAGTATGCTTGTTGTTATCACTATTATCATAATGGCCATCAATATCACTGTCGCCACGGTGACAGCCATAGGGAAGAACTGGAGGGCTCATCCGGCTCTGGACCAATGGGGCTCCGCCAAATGTTCGGGACAAGTATGTATGTGACGTATTTGTATGTTTGTATGGGGAGAAAAAACAAATGTGGATGAGGTACATGTATGATTGAGAGAGGCGGCATGTACTGTAGTGAAAGAAATTTCAAGTGTACAGATTAATTGAATTGATTGCAGCTTAACGCTGAAAAAAATGAGCACAAGAAGAACAATATATTTCAAGAACAATACCAAGTGTTCTTATAAGATATGATGATATTTGTCCTTGTAAAGATGCCTTTATGGGTGTGTTGTTAGAATATGGCAGCTTCTTTTTGGATTTATTTGGCTCCTTCCTGGCCAAAGGTCAAAAGGTCAAATGTATTATTAGTTTACAAGAATGCCTTTGGAGGTCTAATCCCCAACATGAATGAAGTCCATACTCCTACTAAAAAGTGATTTCTAATAATGAAAAAAAACGAATCTAAATAGTGACTCTGTTCAATACGAACACGCAGATAGTGGTGGATAATCTTTGCCCTATTTCTTTATGTTTTAGGAAAAAATACATTTAAAAAATGTTTTTGCAGATCTCTATTCAATTTGGTTGTAGATAATCTCAAATTAAAAAGTGTTTGGTTTGGAGCTGAATAGAGGTGTGTATTGCAGATATAATAATAACCTATATATTTCATAATATGAATACTGGGAAATGCTTTTGTAGTTCATTCAATCATTTGCTCATTCATCTATCCATTCGCTCAACATTTGGCCCATCAGGCTGCATAGCAGTATCTCTGCATGTCTCACTGTACAGGGATCACTCAATGCTCTTTGTGGTGCTTCTGAATGGGTACTGTGTCTATGAGACTATGTGTGTCCTTGGTATTTGTAAAAAGCATTGGATGCCAGCAGCCAACATTTATTCTTGTTGAGAGAAGAGAGAGAATGTAGTAATTTTAGGATACAAAGCATGGCATGATTTGACATAGATCAGACAGTGAGACAGCTAAGAGAACAATGGCAGCAGACAAACTGCAGTAACAGTGAATCAAAGCCAGAGCAGACAGTGGGGGATATTTCATAGGCCTGACAGTTTACTCTGCCACTGTTTTGAATACACCATGCAGTTTAACTTGTGTCCTTTATTGCTGCTGGTGACCAGTTCACATTTCCGCTCTTAAAACAGACAAGATAAAATACATCCCTTTCCCCATAAGTCCCCATGCTGAGATATATATAAATATGTGTGTGGTGTTTACTGCGATCCTCACCATCTTCCAGTGTTGTGGCATTGATCTCTGAGCTGGAGGGTCCTGTGCCGGCTCTGTTGAAGGCCTGGACCACCACACCATACTGAGCAAACTTCTTCAGGTTGTCCAGGGTGTAGACCTCACTGTCTCCGGTGGCCTTCATCTCCACAATGCTGTACTGGCCGTTACTGCCCGGGCCGTTCTCTCTGTATCCAATCTGGTAACCCCTGATAACCCCGTTCTGCAGCTCCTTCCTGGGGGCCTGAAGAATGAAAAACAGATATACAGTACTGACATCAAAAACACATTAGATTACTTTGCAAGCAGATACAATATGAGACGATCAGATAATTCAATGTTACACAAACACATAATCTTTCAGGAAGTACATAGCTGTTCAGAAGGCAGGCAATTTGAATAATTTACCTTCCATGTGACCCTGATACTCTGAGAGGTCACTGGCTGCAGGATCACCTCCATGGGAGGACCATCAGGCTCTGCAGAGACAGAGATTTGTGAGAGAGGGTTATATGGGTTGCATGTCCTACGGTCAAACCAACAATCTGTGGCTTTCATGTTTCTTTTAAGTGTCATGCCCCTCAAATATTCTGTTCTACACTTTTCACATACAGTTTTCTCTCTTTCATTCAGGTAGATACCCAATACAAAATATTTGTCCAAGGACAGATGTTAGGGCAACACAGATGCAATGACTAAGGGGTAATACAACAAGCAAAAAGGAAATATTTGCTCACATTAGTGCAGTGCTGTACTTACGTGCTTCCTCTGTGCTGATGGTGAGTTCCTTGCTGGCCTCGCTCTTGCCAATCGAGTTATAGGAGTACATGCGGATGCTGTAGACAGAGGCGGGGTGCAGGTCCACGATGTTGGCCTGATTGTTGCTGGGGGAGATGTTTCGGGTTGCATGCTTCAGCTCCCAGGTATCTGGTGGAAATTTAAATGATAAATTACTTAGTTGGCCATCATAATCCTACTTCAAAAAAGATTTGGGGATATGTTGTTCTCACTCTTATGCAATATTAAGGCTATGATTGAAATCCCATTCTAACATTGTGCAAAGTCTGAACTGAAATGTTGCATTTCATTTTTACAGTTGCTTATTACGTGGACGTTGTGTACACAGGAAATGTCGAGATATATGTTGGAATAGCAAGAATTTCAAGTATGAGACGTGAGCATACTGGACAAACTCAACTGCCTCACAATGCATTGTGTCCTCAGTGTTTTATCCAACTGGTTGAATAAAACAGTTACAAAAGAGGGGCAAATGTTGTATGCAGTACAGTGTATGTTAGTATGACATGTTGAACACTAAGTCCTATTTAAGACTCAAGTACAGCTCTTGAGAATAGTATGTAGTTCAACAGTCAATTTCTATATATTCTGTTGTCTTTCAAATAAAGAAAAATAAACACCAAGAGCTCAGCACATACATACGCTGTCAGATTACATTTTCTATCCTATTTCCTGTAAAATTAATAAAATACCTTTTTACACCTACCTGTCTTGTTCTTATACTCAATATCGTACGAGGTAATGACACTGTTTCCATCAAATCTCTGTGTCCACCGTAGATTCATACTGCGATCTTTCACTTCTCGCACTTCCAACTCTGGAGGGTCTGGGGGCTCTGACGATTTAAATTAGGTACAAAGGGAGAAGAACAACATTAGGGAGGAAATAGTGAAATCAAAACAGAGACACTTTTGGTTGGAAAAAGCAGGTTTGTGAAGCTGTGATCAATCTAAAATGGGGATGGTACATGTATTTGTATATGAATGGTTACCTTGCACAGTGAGCTGTATAAGGCCTCGTCCTTCGCCGTAAGAGTTGATAGCATGACATGAGAAGAAGACTGAATCCTCACGCTCAGCTGGCTTTAGCTGTTTGGAGAAAGGTATGAATACAAAATGTCAAAGAGACCAACAACATCTTTGAATGTAAAGCACATCTTCATTGCCCTGGTGTCAGTACATATTTTACTCTACCCGCATATTTGGTATTTAAGTGAGTCACTGCTCGCTGCATTGGGAGGAGAGCTGCACTTGGTAACCCCAGGTGTCAAGATTCACTTCTTGCCACCCACCTGCTCAAAAAACATCAAATGACACACCCTCTGTACTAGGGGTGTAACGGTTCACAGAAGTCACGGTTCGGTTCGTACCTCGGTTTGGAGGTCACGGTTCGGTACGGTTCGGTACAACAAGAAAAAGCAAAAAAAAGTCCCAAATGCATAATTCCAGGTTTGTTGTTATTTATGATTGAACAGTAGTGCAAGTTTCAGTTTAAAAATAAAGAACTCTTTTTTGAATAATGAACTGTATTAAACAGTTAAAAACAAACCATACACAGTACACTCAGATGGCCATATTATCTATAATGGCTGATGTCAAACAAAAAGGTTTCATCAAGCTGTAAAACTAAAAAGAATGTCTTGAAAATATGACATCATAAATAATAAGAAAGTGTTTCAAGAGCGCAAAGTCGTTGAAAAACATATGCCAAAAGCTTCCGTTATTTATTTTGGTCTCACGGCTTTCATGTCTATTGGTTTATAAACAGCGGGGATCAGCTGTTGAACTGCTGTTGTCTTTGGCCGGGCTCCGGTGATTGGCCAATCTGGGTGATGCCTTCTGATATGATTTAGCATGTTTGGCGTGTGTTACCATTAGCATACCGCACCACTGTAGAACAACGGCGACACACCGTCCTCGTCCGATCCACCACTCGCACACTTAATCGTTATTGTAGTCCACAGGGAACCCGAAATGTTCCCACACAGCTGATTTAAAAGAAGCAGGTGGGTTCTAGCTCCTGTGTTATCTGAAATCGCCATACTAACTTTTCTTCTTCTTGTATTTTGTACGTTTTGTTGTTGTGTTTCTTCTTGTTCTTCATTTGTTGTTTAAGGGCGGCTGGCAAACAGCTTTTAGGCGCAACACCGCCCCCTAGATTATATATAATGTAGTGGATACTGCCCTGAATGACACTTTTTTCTCACTCATAAAAAAAAGGCGTATTCGTCGTGTGACTGCGTGTGCCGAACCGTGACGTCCGAACCGTGACGGTACGGGACGAATACGGATACCGTTACACCCCTACTCTGTACCATTTGTATCCCTTTGGCTGGTAATGGCGTATCCTCACAGACTGTCGCTAAATCACAATAACCCTATTGAAGCATGTTTTGCCTGTACTTTAAATAAAAAGACATGCTTTAACAAGTAGATATATCTACAAGCACACGTGAAATAAATGAATTATTTTGAATGAGATGAATTACAATAATTTTAAGGCGACAGGTGAAGTCTGAAGTCTATATTTTGAGATGGATAAATGACACCAAAGGTGAATTAATCTTGTGGAATATGCAAACACAAACTTGTTCCCTCTTGTGAGCATCAAAACAGCAGGAGGGGGGTTATCCTCAAATCTCACTGGACACACAGTTATTTAGCCCCTCTTGGTTGCTACAGGGTGACCCTCTCTTAGTATCATAAACCAAAGACAGTCCATCAACAGGTGCTTCAGCTGCCTGCACATTTTCACCTTTCCTGTGATACCCAACACATCATTTTAGTGGAGGTAGACATGTGGCTGCCTTAACCAACGTTGTGTGGTGGAGCACAATAATGACATGGCTATTTGCAGGTCTAAAGGAAGAGAGACACCATTCTTTTTTGGCAAAATATGTTGTGTGGATGTCCCAAAAGTGAATGGCTTCCTCTCGTGAGATGATGGTCCGAACACTAACAGCTAAGTAATGATATATCATGGTGCAGAGCAAACTGATGTTAAACAATTAGATAGGCCTTGACTGTTACCAACCTTTAACAACCTCTAACAACCTCTGACACACTGTGTGATTTCCCCGTTATTTCCCACACTGCACACTAGAATCTGCCTTGACTCATAAAAACAGAGCTCAGACAGACATAAGAGAAAAGTGAAAGCTATCTATTTGTCAAAGCTATCTATTTGTCAACTGAGTAAGAGTCATAAATAAATTGCTGTGTGATATCGTGAATTAGATGCCTTACTCTATATAAGAGCTTCTTACCTTGAGTGTAGACAATACCTCGTCCGTCTTCTCGTTGGGACTGGTGATAATGGAGTATCGGGGGTTGCGGTCAGGGTCAATGACTGTGTCGCCTCTCTCCCAGCGGATGATGATGGGCCATTCTCCCCTGGCTGTGCAGTTCAGCTCCTTCAAGTGACCCTTCTTAGCCATGGTGGTGTTGGGGTGACTGGTGATCATCGCGGGGACTGGAAGGAGAAGGGAAATGAAGTGTGAGATGAAGAGAAGGGGAGGACAAATGAGGGCGAAATGGTGGCAGTAAACAGATTGATGAGGGGGATATTAGAAGACAGAGGCGGATAAGAAAGAGAGAGAGGAGGAAAAGATGGAGTAAGTGGATAATAAGCAGGGTTTAAGTGAAAAGAGAGTAAGACGTGAAATGGAGAAGAGAAGAGAATAGGGCAGTTTAAAAGGTGGAGTTCAGTGTAGCCAAGTTCCATTGCAGTAGAGTAATGAAGAGCTATGGTTAATGAGATAAAGTCAATAAACCTCCTCTCCTATTCTCCAATAGTTAACACCAGAGTGTAGGTGAATGGACAGGAAGAAGCGATACACTCCACCTTTCGTGTACACTCTATACACAAAATCACTCCCAATCTTCTGTGGCCACACACACACGCACACAAACACACACACACAATACCGATCTGAGGAGGGTTCTGCTGTTTTGTTTTCATCACTAATTCATCTCACCCTCCCTCTTTTCCTCTTTTTCTCCCTCTCCGCTGAGCGAAACAGACAGCATTGAGGGAGGCAGAGGAGAGGAACGGTTCAATCAATAACATTAACACCAGGGAGAGAGAGGCAATCCTGTGAAAGCAGAGCTTGGTGAAACTATTGCCTGTCTTTATGTGCACCTGGGTTACATGTGTCTGTGTTTGCAGATGTCAAAAGAAGCCAGATATTAAGCGTTAACATCTCTTTTGTTGGTATTGCTGTTTGTTAAGGTCAAGGTACCGCTTCCTTCAAAGAAAACTGCCCACTTGTAATGCTTGACTTGATATTGACTGTATGGGTGTATATTTCCCCCATGCATGTTCACATTGCATTACATAGGGGTGTTACTGACAGTGAGGGCGGGATGAGAGAGATTGATTGCAGATAATGATTAAGCTCAAAGTGTTTTTGATTGTGTGCAGACAGATCCCAAGAGTCAAAAGATCAATTGCTCAGTTGCTCACTTTCTCGCTGCCTGTCACACGCACGCACACACACACACACACACACACACACACACACACACACACACACACCACACACACCACACACACACACACACACACACACACACACACACACACACACACACACACACACACACACACACACACACACACACACACACACACACACACACACACACACACACACACACACATACACACACACTGACACAAACCCCCATTCTCCCTCTCAGTGTTCTTTGTTGTTTTGCTCTTATGTCCATGGTCAGCTTTGCTGCCCACACATCACAGGGAGAGCAGTGCGAGCTGGCTCATTGGGTTGCAACCGTTTGCGTGAAGACTGATAAGGCCGGAGCATAGGCGCATCCCCGATGGCCTCTCCGCAGTCAGGTATTGCATGAATAACTCGTACTCTGCAACATTAGCTCGCATTAGATTGTATACTCACTCTTAACGGTAAGAACCATGCTCTTGCTGATGTCTGAGCCCACACCATTGGAGGCCTGACAGAGGTAGAAGCCCCGATCCTCTTCCAGGACATGTCGGATGAGTAGAGAGCCGTTACCCATGATCTGGATACGGCCCGTCAGAGGCACAGGGTGATACTGCTGCGGATTCCCAATACCCGCTAGACAGAAAGAGACAGGAGATTATGATGAATTGTACCTTAACTGAGGATTCATCGATTTTGATCAAACTTTTTTTGGGCTGTGTGAACTTATAAATATGACAATGTGTCAAGAACAGCCAGCAGACACACCACAGTACATAGATAAACAATGAAACATGGGTCATGTACCTAGTGCAGCTTTGGCATGTTTCCACATGACTTTTGGAGGAGGGTACCCATCTACTGAACAGTTTAGGATCCCTGCCTTCCCATAGATCCCATCCTGATTGTTGGGCTGAACCACAAACCGAGGAGGCACTGGGGGAAGAAGGAGAGAAGATATGAATAAAAAAACACTTAATTTTGACCATACTCCAACTTTAAGTCGCCCAACTTTATTTGACTGCAATACTAAATCCCTTCAGTAATTTCATTAAAAAACTCTTCCCTTTACCCTTTCAAAATATCACTTTTATACTTATATTCTCCACTCCACTTTTTCTTACCTGTAACTGTGAGCTGCCTCTCCGTGCTGACAGTGGCAGCATCGTTGCTAGCAATGCAGGTGTAGTTGCCATTGTGCTTGAGCGACACTTTGGATATTTGAAGGGAGCTCATGAACTCCTTTGTGTCGATGGTGATGCCCGAGGAGGCCACGATCTCCTGCCCGTCCTTGCGCCATGTGATGCGTATTGGCATATCTCCAGACGACACCACGCAGGCGATGTACATCAGTTTACCGATGGAAGTAGGTGGAAAGTCAAATGGCTGGATCAGTGGAGGAACTGTAAGAGGTGGAGAAGGGGTGGATGAAAGATTGAGCAAGAGATGTAAAGGTAAGGAAGGTGGAGTAAATACAAATGAAGTAGAGGTGAAGTAACCGACATAAGTTAAACAGATAGTTCAGGCAGATGAAATCGAGGAAACATATGATGATAAGGAATGGAAAATAAAGGAAAAAGATGAATGAATCAGTGAGAGGGTTGTTTAAATGAGTGGGTGAGTAAGAGGTGAATATAGAGATTTGAGGCAGATATGAATAAATTAAGGTTAAAGAAAAGAGTCAGATGTGAAGACACAGAGAGAATATGGTTAGACACATAGATGTGAAGATTGGGGGGCATCGAGGGGACATGGGATGGGAGAGTGAGTGAGTGATGTAAGGTAGAAGGATACAGAGGTGGGAGACATAAAGACAGAGTGAGGTTTTTTTCAGATGGCATTTTCAGAAGCTGCTATTTTTACCTGACATGCTAATCGGTAAACTAGTGGTGTTTCTGTCCATCTGATTTCTTAAGTCTGTCATCAAAGCCTGGACCCCTTCAAAAACACTGCACCCTGGCCTACTAGCCCACTCCCCACTCTGCAGCTGCCTGTGCCCCCTCCACTCCACTCCACCCTGCCCTGGTAAAGCCAGCCTATAATAGCTGCTCTAATTAGAGCCCCATCCGCTGGGGGAAGAACGGTGTTGCTATGGAGAGCAGCGGAGGTGATGGCGGTGGTTTGGAGTGGGGAAGGAGGGGAGGGTTGTGGTGGTGGTGATGGTGGTGGTGGGGGGGGGGGGGGGATAACAGCTGAGACATCTGGGGGATTTAATCTGGGCCTCGTTAAAATTCATCTAATTAAATCAGAGACATGACGAGCACACATTTATACAAGCACATACCTACACCCATACCAAACGCAGCTAATGCACATTTACCCACGCATGTGCATGTCCATACAAGTACACGCATAGAAAAACACTGCAAAGACACCCGAGCATCACAGACTTCACACATCGGCTAATTTCAAGACGAAACACACAAAACTCACACTCAACAACTTCCTTCAACAAACGTGTCATGCCATCGCCGGAGAGAAGAGCGAATATCATACAAGATGACATGAAGAATATATAGCACACACTAACACTATGTAATTCACACACCTATTTGCATAAGAATAGCATGCACACACATACATTTTATCCAATAGCACTCAACATGTGGTTGAGAGGCTGCACTGTCGGCTCTGCCCCTTAATCAGGGGTTATTAGAGGCAATGCAGAGCGTACAGCTTTCTTCTTCCTCTCCCTCTGTTTCACTCTCCCCCTCCTGCTCCCAACCAGTCTTACTCACTCTCCATCCCTCCTTCAGTAACCCTCTAATTCATTCATAATTTCTTCCGCCTGCGTCTTCGACATCATGGCCCTCTCAAACACACCTAGATTCACCTAAATTATGATATAAATATGAATTCACTCAATATGTTTAAATCATTGGACAATCCCCCAAAAAGTATACACTTATGTATCAGTTACACCACCGAACAAACTAATTATGAGCGCTGCTATATTGAGAGACATCTGGATGACTCTTCAGCCTTATGTAAAAGAACTGTAAAACTGTCCGACAAAGTTTTCACCTTTTTAAATGATGACCTGCAACTGACCTTTGACGGTGATATAGACAGTCTGCGTGATGAACAGCTGTGGTTGGATGAGCACGCTGCAGACGTAGGCCCCCTCATCCATCCCCTTCTGAACATCGCTGAGCTTCAGGGTCCCATTCTCATAAACCACCTGAACAGAAACCATTAGTGTTATGATACATGAATGGTCTTCTTACTCACACATTTTTTTAAAGCTGTGAATTCAAATGAGATGATTCTAAGTCCTAAACATATCCGGCACTGATTCAGACCTCCCCATTCCTCCCCCCCCAGGTTCTGATATATTTTGAGCAGAAATGCAGAGAGCAAAATCCACCTGGCGATGATTGTCAGGCAGCAGAAGCCCCTCCTTGTACCAGTTGATTGAGTAATAAGGGTACCCAATCACACGGCAGTTTATGAAAGAGTTTCTTCCTGCCACTGCAGTGATGTTCTTCATAGGCCGAATCCTCGGTGGACCTGATGGGCAGAGAGAGACATATGGGCAGAGGGAGAGGGATGCAGAGAAAAAGAGAAGGATTGACAAGAGGAAGAAAATAGAGGGAAAAATTATAAAATCGTTAGATGATGGTGTCAGAAACAGGTTTTGGAATTTTAGGAATAAATGGGAGAGTTGAAAAGGAAGGGGGTTGGGGAGTAGTTAAGAGACAGAAGAGAAAAAAAGCATGTGAGTGTATAAAGAGAGATGTTAGAGTGCAAACTGCTATGAGTTGTATCACTGTCAATGTATCCTGAACCTGCCACATGTGTAGAGTGCAGGGCCAGCCTCATCATGGACATGTTCAATGCATTTTCTATTGACTGTGGGGCATGGGTAAAGCGCTGTACATTGTTAAAGGTTGCTTAGTGTGAAAAACACATTGTATTCTCATAGTTTCAAAGCAATGAACATGTGAAATCTATAAGGTTCAAACTACATAGTGTTTTGAGGGACGAGGAGAATTAGCAATACTGGTCAAAGCAAGTAATTGGCACAGTTGACTCACAGGATCAAAACATCTAGAAAAGATCTGATAAAAGAAATACAAATATATAATAGAAATTCATCTTGAATGCCTCAATATGTTTGTCATGTACTGTTGCCAAAAGACAGAGACCGAAGGCTGTCGGCCACCAGGCAGACAGACAGTCAGACGGACACTAAATGTGTTTAGCATTACTGGAAGTCACTGGGAGCGATCCCTCAATCATCCGTCACTTCTCCTGTGACCTTCTCACCATTGTAAGTCTTGTATCTTTGTTTTTGTTTCTCCTTCCAGCCCTCCTACCCCCACTTCTCTTCCTCCGTTTCTCTCTCCTTCCTTTCTCAGTGTGTGCTGAGCTTTGAAGTCTCAGCTCTGACGAGTGAAAGATGTATTATTCAGTAGCACAGACACACACACGCCGACACACAAGCACATATACGGTATAACGTGCACATGTGTTCAACAAAGTCTGTGTGGCTCAGTATATTTGCTGCTGGCCTCTCACTGAACGGGATAAGTTGAGTGTATCACATTTCAGCAAGTGGGCACGCTTACCAATGTGTTACTGCTTTCTCGTGTGTGGTTATACAGGTGTGAGTCCATGTGTGTGTGTATTTGTTGAATATGTCTTGCATGTAGAGCTGAAACTCTCTGGCAATGAAGCTCATTCTCACTCCAATGATTATCCTGGCATGTCATCTTAGAGCGGACTCACATGTCACAACTACACATCTCCACAAAGAACAGAGAAAACAGAAACAGAAACAGAAACAGAGAGAAAGAGTGTGATACATCCCTGTCCATCAGTGTCACTCCTCATTCTTGTTGTCTCCGACGACAGTGACATCACCAGTCCTGTCACCAGAGTTCACCATCACTCCCTCAGCAGACACTGGCACTCCTCACTCTTCTAACCTCTTCTCTTATTTCAGCTCTCTTTTCCCTCTATCTGTTGCCCTCCGTTTCTTTCTCTTCTAAAGTGTCTTCATGCATTTGTCTCACATTTGCTAAATCTCACTTCATATCTTTTTGTCACTTTTCCTTTCTATATGTTTTGCAAAAAAATCACTATTTTAACAATTTGTGTGTGTGTGTGTGTGTGTGTGTGTGTGTGTATATGTATGTGTGTGTGTGTGTGTGGGTGTGTGTGTGTTTGTGTGTGTGTGTGTGTGTGTGTGTGTGTATGTATGTGTGTGTGTGTATGTGTGTGTGTGTGTGTGTGTGTGTGTATGTGTGTGTGTGTGTGTGTGTGTGTGTGTGTGTGTGTGTGTGTGTGTATACAGATAACTGAAGTAGGTGGATCAGTGGGTGCATTTTGTATGTGTTCTTATGCATGTGCTTTTTCACAGGCACATGTGCAGAGCCACAGTAAGCATGACAACAGGACATTAACAAACTGCAAGAAAGAAAGAGAATGAGAAAAACAACATAAACACCATATGTGCTGCTGAAGCAACAAATACAGTAACATACAAGAATAAAGATTGACGGACAGAACAAAAAAGTAAAGAGAAAGAAAAGTATATTTACAATAAAGCGAAACACACATATAGAGATAGAGGTAGAGATATAGAAGGGTACAGGGTAGGGGTCAGGCTATGGTAAGCATCTGTATGACTGATATTGAAAAGTAGACAGGCACCTCTTACGTTATGCGCGCTTGGTACTCGGCACTACCGGCCGAGTTTCGTGCGGCGCACCGATACACTCCTCCATCGCGAATCTGCGGGCTGCTGACGTTGACGTGGCTCACAGTGCTGCCGTCGGAGAGCGTGTACTGGCTGGCTCGGACACGCGACAGGTCCCGGGCCACAGGCTCGTCGTCCAGGGTCCAGGTGATGGTGGGGGGGGGCGCTCCTTTGGCAGCGCACATCAGGGAAAAGGGTTCACCGGGGACCACCACCCTCTCGCTGAAGGAGGCGACAATGCGGGGCGTGCCATCTGAGAAACAAGACACGAGAGGTGAGAATTTAGAAACAAATGATAACAGTGTGTTACATTGTATTTAAATTAGCACTATGTTAAAAACCACCATACTGTAGGAAGCAGAAGTATATGACATTTGTTGTAAGGTACTGAATTAAAAAGTAACACTTCAGTCATAATACAGCCAATCTGCTTGTGTCCTAGATACATAGGCTATGGGTGTATACAGTATGCATGTACTCAATGTGTGTGATAAAAGTACAATTAATTTTAAATAATTTGAGAGATTACACTCGATGAACATACCAGGAATCCTATGCAATTATCCGTTTAATGTAAAATAAACTGTTATCACTCAATCAGTTTTCTCTCCCTTGTTAACAATCCTCAATAGTATATTTTTGGAAATACAGAAAAAACTGCCAACAAGACTGCACATACAAAGTAGAAACATATCATAATTTCTCCATAGGTGTATTTATATAATGTAAATCATGCGTAATTAGTGTCTTATTAAGCATCAGAAGAAACACCAGCACAATAACCCCGGACAGTGTTCGTGATTATTCACCGCCATGGTAATCCCCTTCTGTCCTCACCTTCCAGCAGTATGATGGAGAAGTCCTGGGCGGTCTGGCCCTTGCGCGTGGCAAAGCACTGGTAAGCTCCCGAGTGTCTCTTTTGTGCAGCGGAAATGAACAATGTCTCATTGTGAGCCCCCTGGATGGAAAAGTGCTGATCGGGCAGGACAGATTCAGTGTTACGGTACCAGGACACCATAAAGTGCGGGGAACCCTGGACGGCACAGGATAGGATGACTGTGCTGCTGATCCCCGTCTTCAGGTTCTTGGGAGACAAGGTGACCCGCAGTGGATCTAGAGATAAGGAAAAGAAAAGAGAAAAGGAAATGTTAGCCACACCTTCTCATTCATAAGTCACAACCTAAACATTGAGAAATATTACAGTGGTGGTATAACTTCCATAGCTGAACAAAAGTAATTTGTATTGAGTAAGGGCCAGGAAACACAAATCACATTTTGTTTTGGTGTGTATTAGTTGTCTGTGTGTCAAGACTTCTTCCATTGCTTATGTGTGTGTGAGTGCGTGTGCTAGGCAGCGAAGAAAACCGAGATAGAGAGACAGAAAGGGGAGAAAATGTCAGTGAGCAATAAAGCAGCTGGTGTTAAGTGCTGGAGGCTGCTGAATGTGTGTGAGAGAGTGACAGTGCATGTGTAAGACTTTCTTCACAGGCAATGAGTGCACATACTGCAAGTGTGTGTTAAAGTGTGTGTGTATGTGTACCACCTTCTATGCCCTGTCATAGGAGGTTTGTGGGATGCGCCGTGATGTGCCCCATGGCCAGTCTGCCCAGTGTCCACTAACTTCACCCTTTACCTCTCTCCCAGCGTCCCCTCCTCATTCATTCAAACACACAGCATTATGAAATCCTCTCTGTTTTTGCCTCCCTCCTTCACGTCCTTGGTAAACAGAGCGACAGGCCTGCAAGACCACTGGTCTGCTCTGTCACCGTAGCAATGCCTCGCTGGGGTTTGAGAGCACAGCGGGGGAATGAGCCGTCCTTGGACATCAGGCTCACGCTCGGCCCAGACGAGGGTGGGTTGTGAGGGTGGGATGTATGTGGGAGGGGGGGTTGTCGTGTAGCAGGCACGGGGCCAGGGCAAAGCCAACAGAGCTTATATGATGTCTCCATTGCACCTGTCCATGACCTGACATCATCATTCATTACTTCTGTCCATCTCACTTACGCTCCAACTGCACTTGTCAGTGTTGAACAATGGAGGTCAAGATAGCTAGGGGAGTGCTAAGTGATGCATTGTTGTGTGCTGAATTTTGAGATTGTATTCTTCTACTGTAATCTCTTTAGTGTTTTACTGACCTATGACATTAAGATGACCCGTCACCTCTTTGGAGCCAAAGCTGTTGGTGACCTCACAGATGTAGTTGCCACTGTCCTCAAGCCTCAAGTCGGAAACGGTGAGGCCGGTGATGCGCCGTGTCCAGCGGGAGTCAGCAGGTAAAGGCCGACCATCCTTCAGCCATCGGATGGTGGGGTTTGGGTATCCGGATGCAACACAGGGCAGCTCAACGCTGTGCCCCATCTGCACCTCACCGGACTGGAAACTATCCAGCACTGAGGGGGTGGACTCCGTAGGGTCTGTGGGTGTAGCACGACACAGAAAGAAACGTAAATTCATGAATTCATACATTTGGTTCCTAAGGAATAGTTGGATCATTCTTACTGAGAGTTGAATGAATACATTGATAATACACCCATGTCTGTACCATAACATAAAGCTACAGCCAGCAGATGGTTAGCTTATCACAAAGACTGTAAACGGGTCATTCTACAGAAAAGGTAGATCTGGGTGATACAAATCTGCTGAAATATATTCCTTCTAAAAACATCTAAAACCTGTTAAATAGCAATAACTAACTCTTAACTTGATGAATCCACAACAAGTAAAGCTTAAAATATTTTTATTATTTTTATTATTTTTATACTTTATACAAAGGTTATTTGTATAGGAATGTCACTGGTGTTACGTGTTACCAGGAAGAAGAGTGACACCAGTGACGGTAACACCAGTGACAATTTGGAGAAAACACTACCATTTTAACAAAATGGCTGCAATGTGTCAGACCAAATATGGCTTCAGTCAATATCAAAATCGTTTAACTCTTCAATACAATACATTTTCCCATTCAAATGTTCACCCCTAGTAACACTAATGACAGACTTGAAAGACGCATGTAAAATTTGAAGATAAAATGACACCTTTAACAAACAAAGTAAGAAGTATCTGACTTTCCTCATGTCTTTGTCCACTGCACTGCCTCAAATGATCTCTTGTTACAGGAGGCACTTCAGAGACAGTACATTATTTCAAAATAAAAGCATTTTGTGTAGCAGTAACACCAATGACGTAATTTTGGGTGACTGACATTTATTTGATATTATTAATAATAAATTGCGTTTTTTTACCATTTCAGTGTTATATTTAATGCTTGTAATGTTATGTAAATATAAATTAGATTTATTTATTGAAAAAAAAATGTTTTAAAGGAAAACTATAGGCTCCACTTCCATGTATGATCAAAGTGACAAGGCAGTTCCTTGAACTTGGCATTTTAAATAAATTGCAATTTACGTATAAAACCATTTTTTATTTATTTTTTATTTAGTACCATTGCAAAGACAATCTCTATTTATTCAACATATATAATGAATGTGAGTATTAGGTCAACGTCATGTATTTTGGTGTCTGCAAAAGTAAGTGACAGCACTTCCAACTTTTCTGTAGAATGACCCAACAGTGGACACAGCTAGCCTGGCTATGAGTTATGGGCTGCACTATAGTAGTAACTTGGATAACACGTGTTATTTTTATGCTTCTATGCTGGTTAAGGATCTTTAAACTCCATTTCATTGCACAAACCTGTGTTGTACAGAGACAATATATTTCCTTGAACTTGAACCTTAAGTACTGGTAGGTGGATTATCTTCCCAGGCTAGCTGTTCGCCCCGTTTCCAGTCTTTATGCTGAGCTAAGGTATACACCTCCAGGCTACAGCTTGATATTTACTGTACAGAGTAGTGTTGATTTTCTCATCTCATCATGGCAACAAAAAAAACTAAAAAAGTGTTAAACTATTCCTCTAAAACATAAAACTCTGTAATGCAATTCTATCAAGTAATACAATTATAAAAGACAAGCAGCTGCTCATGTTTTGATGGCATTTTAGTACTTTTAGTGGAAAAGGAAACTTTGCCTACCCATAACAGAGAGCCTGGCTCCATTGCTCTGGCGAGTCTCTCCACTGTACTTGTGCTTTGTGATGCAGCGGTAGGTGGACAGAGCATCTTCCTTCTGCACCTCTGAGAAATACAGAGCGCCAAATGAGGTCAGGAAGAAACGGTTACCTGTGTAGGAGAGCAGAGGGGGAACAGGTAGGGGAGAAAGGAAGGATAGGTTAGTCAACATATATGAGTTGCAAAAATGATAAATAAGGCATGTCATTAGCATGTAAAGCAATGCGAGGGTTTACAGACTGCACTGAAACTTTTATCCATGTATTTTTTCTTTTAATGTTTATTTTATTAGCTTTTCTTTTTAATGATTGATTTTAAATGCCTTTTTCTTAATGTCTTTCATTTTTTGTAAAGCACTTTTAATTGCCTTGTGTTGAAAAGTGCTATATAAATAAACTTGCCTTGCCTTACAGATAGAGGGGTGCTGCACAGATTGTAAAGCGTGTCTCATGCCTGGGTGCATTGGGCAGAGGAATTTTCCAGTTTAGACATTTGAGCTTTGAGGCCTAATCTTTCTTTGTTAAAAGGTAATATTATCTCACATCACATTGTGATTCGGACAAATGTGATTACTGTCCAGAATTGGGCTTTATTTACTTTCTCGCCTTCTCTATGGCTCAATAATATGTATATTTTCTAGCACAATTTTACAGAAATAGAAGATGCTTCAATGTCTTTTCAAGTTATATTCACTTTTCTTAATGGTGTACACACATTTATAACAATCTTCTGTATTCACTGTATTTTCTTTCTCATTTCTATACATTTGCTGAGGAAAAAGTGTACAGAGAAAACCCTATTTGGTGAGGAAAAGGTCACTTCAGACATGTGATGCTATTGAAGTAGATGAGAGATGCCAACCTCTCCATCATGAGACCCTCTTGACAAACCGTGAGCATATTTTTCAGAGAAATCACTGATCTCCAAAGAATAGAAAACAGGACTAGAATATACATGTCTTCAAAAGGCCAAACCACAGTACTTGAACACAGGGGAGCTTTTAACTAACTCTGTCACATCCATCTAGTGAGAGTTACACAATAGAGGAAGAGCGATAAGGAAGACGAGAAAGAGAGAAGAGAGGAGGGAGTTATTGTAGGTGTTAATAATTGATGCGTCTCTGTGTGTTATGGTAACAGCAGATTAGTGTCATTTTCATTTCACATCAGTGACTGCTTGGTCTCCCTCTGATTGATCTACATGTCAATAGAAAAAGCATGTGCATGTGTGTCTATGTGTGCGAGAAGAAGAAGAGAAGAGAGAGATGGAAGGAGGAGAGTGTATTTCGGTGTTTGATTCTTTCCGCTTCTCTGCATCTTTTTGTATTCTGTTCCCCCAAAGGGTTATTTTAGACAGTGTGCACTTCCGAGTTTGTAGTAGATTGCAGATTGTTCGGTTATGCGGATGCTTTTGCAGTGTGTTTGTGAGAATATTCTGCCTGTTGTTTGCTGTACATGATGTTTCAGTTGTCTCTTTGCAATGTTGACAAGAGAGGACTTGAGTTAAACACAGGTACATTGAATAGTTGAATACGGGAAATATATGATGTACACACAACGCAAAAACATGCACAAATACACACACGCACACCTCCAAGCAATAGGTCAGCATCTAGTCACTGCATATTTATTCTGAAACACTTATGGTTCTAGCTGTTAGATGTGTCTGATTGTTGATGAAAAGTGACTGCTGTATTGTGAAAACTTCACAACATAAGCCGCAGTTTTAGTTGGTTTTTATTTTGCTCTTAAATGATCCTCTTAGAGTCAATACTGGCAGTTAATAATTACATGGTTTGTAAGTCCTATGTTTTTGATTGACAAAATGTATGTATCAATGAACATGTGTAGATATAAATGGGCAAGTATCATTAAACAAGCCAGTGTTTGGGTGTGTGCGCAAATGTGTGTGTGTGTTAGCCCTGCCAAAATGTGAGCAACAATCGATGCATTTTATAGCTGCACAACTCCATCCAAAAGAGATTGATTCAAACAAATAGGGCTGGCCTGGCTCCCTGCCATTCACACACACACTAACAAGACTGATATGTGAAGAATACTGAAGGCTTTACCTCTTGTGTCAAAGCTGCCAAGTTTGGACAGACTAATCTAAATGTGCCATTTTTCAAGATCACAGTGGATATTTCTTTATTGTTGCTCATTCTGTTGAATTTCATATTATCCTATAAATAAATTTGAAGTAAACTATGGCCAGTTTTTAGCCATAGTTTTTAGAAAAATTCCAAGGAGATGTCTTTCCTCAACCAAAAGCCATAGATATTCAATCTAAACTGATAAAAACCAAGAAAAAATAAATGTTGGTTGACTGATTACAGTATACAACAAGTGGTGCTAACTAGCTTCTGGAGCTGGAGAGACCCGTTTAAATGTCAGATCGACATATTAATACGTATGATATTTTCATTTAGTAAGTCTACAATTTGCACACACACACACACACACACACACACACACACACACACACACACACACACACACACACACACACACACACACACACACACTTGTAACAGCCTGTGCGTCTGCATGCATATGTGAAAGTTCAGACACACGTGTTTTCATGTGAGTCAGACTGTTGTGCTGAGTGCTAAGCGACGTAAGCTGTAATTTCCAAGCCTGCCCTTTTGTTACAACCTGGGTATTAAGCCTTACAGGATAATATGCACTTGGCGAGTAGAACCCTGTATAACACACTGCTACTCCCTGTCACAACATGCCTGGAGAGAGGAAGACAGACCAGAAGGGGGTGGGGAGGGGAGAAAGTGGGGGGTAGAGTAACAAATTCAGAGATGGTTAAGAATGGAGAGAAAAGAGAGTGCAGGGGACATTAATGAGACAGTGTGTCAACGCTTGTGGCAAATAGATGTCCAGCTACACAATTTATCGACAGAAAGTAAAGCAAAATGAGCCAGTTCAGATGGATAAAAGATGAATACATTTTAAGAGATGTTGTTGATTATTTCTCTGATCAATTAATAATTTCATCACTATACCTTATCTACAGTGGCATATTAATGAAGTATTCTATTCTCCATCTTCCCTTGACTGCTGTGAGATTAGCCGACTACCCTTCACCTCCTCTCTCCTTCACTGCTGCTCTTTCTACCTGATACCTAAGTTCTACTCACTGCCTGCTCTCCTGCTGTCTGTGGAGATGTGACACACCTAAAACAGTGGAGAGGGTGTAGGCTGCACTGGAGGGAGGCTGACCTAGGGGAGGAGGAGGGCAGATGGAGATTGATGGAGGGAGAGATAGGGAGATAAAGAGAAAACATGCCGTTGGGAGTGACAGCGGAGGGAGTGAGAGTGAGAGGGATGAGGGCCTGCAGGCCTGAGAGCCACACACGGGTAAAACAATTCCTCTACGTTGTTCTATGTCTCTCTCCCTCCCTCTCTCTTTCTCCCGTTGCAAGCCTCTCCTTGTGGGAGAGAAAATCAATTCTCGTCTAGTCTGCCTACGCCTCCAGGAATTTGTTGTTGTTGTTGTTGTTGTTTGCGTGTATGTATGTGCTTCTGTGTCTGCCTTTTCCTTTCTGCTGTAGGAGGCAGGGTGAGATTCTTTTAGGTCCAGCCCACCCAAGGGAGGCTCAAAATCCCCTCACTTCCTATTTCACTTCCTAACCCTCTCATTCCTTCCTTTTGCTCTTTTACAATCTGTGGGACATCTATTCATCATCGCCGGCTTCTCTTCCTCCCGTCTCCCCTCTGCCCTCTACCTCTTTCTATGTCTGCCTCTTTTCCTTCTAGTCCATAGAGTCTGGGGGGGGGGGGGGTCTGTAAGTAATGGAATCAGTTCAGCTGATGAGCCTGAGGCAGGAACTCAAGTCAAGTGCAGAGTGAAGATGCTGCTGGATCTGTGTGTGTGTGTGTGTGTGTGTGTGTGTGTGTGTGTGTGTGTGTGTGTGTGTGTGTGTGTGTGTGTGCCAGAAATCCCACAGAAAGAGACATGCATGCAAATAACGAGACAAAGAGACAGAAATGGAGAGAAAGATGGAAACAATAAGGATTAGTGAGCCCTGGAGCATCACTTGTCTGCCCCAAAGTTCCCCCAGAGACAGGACACCCCTCTTCTTTGAGATAGGTGGGGGAGTCAGAGGAGGGGAAGGGCAGGTTAGACAGAGCGGGAAGATGAAGGGATACAGGATAGGCGCATCTAAGTATATCCCATTATAGTATATGGCTGCCATCTTCAACAAATGATTGTCATACAAGGGAGGGGGATAGCAGAATAAGAGATCATAACGAGCAAAACAATGATAAGAGAAAATGAAAATGTTAATGTGGGAATATTGAAGCAATCGTGGAGGTTGGGAGGAGAGGATGGTCGGATAAGACAGGAAAGAGGGATTGTTTAAATAAGTATCTAAGAAAATATTTGAGATGCTGGCCAGACCTAAAAGAAAGAGACAGAAATAGATCAAATAGAGAGGAAAAGCAAGAAAAAAGTCCTATGCGAGAAAAACAGAGCAAGAGAGGAAATGGCGCAAGTAAGGGGGTTTGTTCTTGGAGCTGCCATGCAAATGAAGGCGCTGCAGCAATGCTAACTAACAGCAATTCACACTGTTGGACTCATCACTTATTAATGCTCTACGGCTCCCCCCTCCCTCCCTCCCATCTCTTTCGCTCTCCCTCTCTTTACCCATTCCTCTCTCCCCTGCTCTCGCCAGAATCTCTCATTTTTGTTCGCTCTCTCGCTCGCTGTTGCTAGGGCCCGTGCGCTCACGTGACAACAGCTGGGTAGGGGGCGCTGCGGTGGCACACAGCGACATGTGCAAGTGTGCTTTTCATGTGTGCCGTGCGTGTGTGTGTGTGCGGCAGAGTACCCTTCATTAGAGGTAAAAACGGAATCAGCCATTTAAATGATGGCGATGGAGATCAGAGGAGAGGAGAGAAACTGCTGAATGGATCTGTAATTGGTCCACAGGCCCGGGCTATAGGCCACAGAGGAGCTCAACACATCTCTCACTGCATCATGTCATTCACTCCATGCTTTTTAACAAAAACACATGCTGAAGACTGTCACCTCCATTATTGTCAAGGTTTGCCTTTCAGGTTTTAAGGCTAAATGGACCGCGGGCTCAGTACAATACA